AATACACATTATTATCGATACAGAGGCCGAATCTATAGTTTTTAGAATTTTTGTCTGTTTGTCTGTCTGTTTTCGCAAAAGTCCACGTAATATTTTCTAAATAATGAATGGAATAAAGGGCCGATAAAAGCAAGTTTTTTTACCGATTTCAAAGTATTAAGTTCATTTGTATTTTTGTATGTTAGGCGATATCTTCACAAATTGTGAATATATGTATATATTTTCAACCGACTTCAAAAAGGAGGAGGACTTCAAAAATAATTGAGGTTTAATATATTTCTATTTAATCTATATGATGGAAATGAAATGCTGTTGGTTGGTAAGCGGATTACTTGAGAACAGCTGGACCGATTTGGCTAATCATAATTTTGAATATGTTCATAATAGTTTGAATCAACTTTTCAACCGACTTCAAAAAGGAGGAGGTTCTCAATTCGACTGTATGTTTTTTTTTTTATGTTTGTTACCTCAGAACTCCGTCATTTATTAACCGATTTGGACAATTTTTATTTTGTTTGAAAGGGTATACTTCCAGATTGGTCCCATTTAAATTTCAAAAAAAAATACCACCCCTAAGGGTGGAAAAACAACTAATGATGAATTTAACCTACTTATAATTGTCATATTGACTTGAAACTTTGCAAGTATTTCTATTTCCGTTGATAGTACAGTGGTTCGGTGTTGTTGACCTGATCTGATGGCAAGGCCAGAAGGTGGATAGGTGGAACTCTTCAACGGCTAATAGTAGATACTTTGAGTTAGGGCTTATTTTGTTTGATTTGACAAGCCTAACACATTAGAATCCTTACTTTGCTAATACTGTCTACACTAAAAAGGGAAAAATAAAAACTTTTTAACAAAAAAATAAAAACCGACTTCAAAAAAAGCACTAAAAAGTAAAAAATAACTGATTGGTAGTTTTCATTTACTATACATACCTAATCAAATATTTTCGAAGTCGGTGTGCTTTGGCTAAGTAATTAAAGCCTACCTATTAAATACATACCTAATCAAATATTTTCGAAATCGGTGCCAGCCCATACAAAGCAAAGCACACCGACTTCGAAAATATTTGATTAGGTATGTATAGTAAATGAAAAGTACCAATCAGTTATTTTTTACTTTTTAGTGCTTTTGTTTGAAGTCGGTTTTTATTTTTTTGTTAAAAAGTTTTTATTTATAAACTATTTGAATTTTTGTTTTTTAACTTTAATTAAGTCAATTTATATATATGTCGGTGTACCTTTTTTTGTTAAAATATTCAATCATGAGAGAGATAAAGTTAAGAGTTGAGCAAAACAAGGGGTCGCAAGTACAACTATTATCAACTAATGAAACTCTAATGAAAAACAAAAGCAAATCTATGCCACAGGAACCTATATAATATAATCATATTAATATAGTCTATCATATTAATTCAAAAATATTTTAAAGACGAAGATTATGTTAAATGTCCATATTGTTGCAACCACTCTAGAATCTATCGATGATTCTATGCTCGAAGTTATAGACGAGATACTTACCTACGATACGAGAGACGATACCTGAGACAAACTGTCCAGCTGGGTAGGTCCAACTTCGAGAAAGAGGTTAAACAATGGCTTAAAGTTTAAACAAAAGTTTTACGTTCTTTCATTTGACTACGACGTCGTCTAGCGGTTTTTAAAACTCGAAAATTTTACTAATGGCCTTTGGAAAATTCCACTGGCAACTCCCAACTTCTTCATCAGCTGTGATAGTATCAAATTATTTGTATACATATTATCATTATCATCATGTATTGCCATATTTCATATACCTACGTGAAAAGTTTTAAAATGATTATTTAAAAATTTACTAGAGTTTAGGTTATAAATTGTAATCTTTTCCAACTTGATTATAATTACAAATGCTAATAAACGCCGTGTAAAAAAGGAATTACCATTTCTGTTAAAGGAGATTTATCTATTTATACTTAAACTCTTTATTCATTGATCATTATACAAATTACAATGTTTTATAATCTATACTATAATAAAACAGTAGAGGTCGAATGTCTGTACATAGCAAAAAAAATGCAATAAACCGAGTCAGGGGGATGTAAGAAGACAAATAGAACAAATCCAGATTTTTTTCAATTTTTTTGTTTCTCTGTCTGTTTGTCTGTTTGTACGGGCTAATCTCGGAATCTATTGGACCGATTTAAATGAAATTTTGCATGGTGGTACCTTATATAGAATAATTTTGAAATTTTGATAAATCGCAAAGGTGCCAAGTCCTTCGTCATACTTTAACTATCTATACCTACTTATTCATATATAATATTATATACATATTAATATTATGGAGGAAAGATTTGTATGTTTGTTCGTAATCGATAAATTCTAAAACCACTAAACTCGTTTTGACAGCTCTCTCTCTCTCTCTTATCTTTTATCCAAAAGTAACATTGGCTATATTGTCTATATATTATCTCAGTAATGATAAGTTTTCCGCTCAAAATATCGCAAAATATCGCTAATAAGAAATTACTTGATTACACAATAAGAATCACTTTTTTGTACCTATATTACCAAAAAAAATATTTATTTGACGTTTTAGAAATACGAATATATTAAAAATGACAAGTCAATAAATGAGTATTGTCAATTAATTATTAAAGATCATACGCAAAGAGCCGATTAACTACGTATCAGTTTATCTAGTCTAATATTATATCTTAATAGCGACTCACCCTCGCACCACTCAGGTTCGTCTCTAGGTAGTAGGTACATTTTATTTTTTTGAGCAGAAACCTAATTTCAATTAATATATATTAACAAAACTATAGATTCGGAGTCTGTATCGATAATAATGACTATTTCAATAAGAATTTCCAAAAAATATTTGATGTACAGATTTGACTTAGTTACAATTTTATAATATGTAGGTATATTTTATGCAATTGTATAATGACCTCACTGTATAGATTTAATTGATTAATTATTCTTACCTTGTGTACACCTTTTAAGTTAAATGTTGTAACACAATAAAATGTAATAATTTACAGTTGAAAATAAATATTATTGAGGCTTCATTAAAAATGCAATCACCACGTCTGACCTGAATGTCTGTCCTGAATCTACCTATCACAATATTTTTTCTTACGAAAATTCATCTAGAGGTGGTCATTAGGGTCATTCATATAAAAGGCCATTACAAAACCAAGGTCTCTATACTAAGAAGAAATATAATATTATAATATAGGAAACATTAAAAGTTCCAAAATGGTTGAACATGAAGTTTAAGACACCATCTATTTTTATAGTATAATTATTATAGGTAAGTTTTAATTTTTTTTAGCGGAATACTAATCATTGTTTATAAATAAAAGTAGCCAAGTTACTCCTTATAACATCAGCTATCTGCCTGTGAAAATCTCGTCAAAATTGGTCCAGTCGTTTCGGAGATTAGCCGGAACAAATAGACAGACAGACAAAAAAATTTAAAATTGTGTTATTTTGACATTAAAAAGAGACACTTCAATTTTATTTCTCTGTATAGACGTGTAGTGTTTTACCATTTCAAGCACCTTAAACATAAATTAAATTAGAATATTAAAGGATAAGGAAAGATATTGTATGTATTAAAATACTATGAATATTAGTGGAAAATGTTGAACAAGGAAGTTAGATTATAAATAAACGTAATTATACAATTGTTATAAAGTCATGGAACTCACATGGTTACAACAAAGACATTGCCAAGTTTAAAGAAATATCTCCTTTTTTTGGGTAACTTAAAAAAGTTCAAACAGTTAATAATGTTGTGTGTTTTTTTTAATGTAAAATACATATAATTCAATTTTTTTGCCAATATATATCAAGGGTAGTGTAAGTTTTAAGAAAAAAGTCCACCCCTAAAAACATAATTAAGTATTTTATAGGTTTGAAGTCTATCTTTCTTTTTAGTTTCTTATTGAACAAATTTATTAATAAATTAATAAATTTTACTAATCTACCATCATAAGAAAGAAGGCAGTTATAAACAATTTGGTCAAAAATTACTTATATGCAGATTCAGAATCAGCAAAAAAAGTTAGTTGATAGTCTTAATCATAAACCTCTAAGTCATATGAATCCGGAGATACCATAAGCATTTTAATCGGAATTTTGACATAGTAGTAAAACAAAACATCAAATATCTCGAAATCAACTTTGAAGAAGTTAAACCTTCTTTATTATGATGGCAGACGACAGTAGTGTATGTGAAAATTTTTGCATGCATTATGTTAACAGTCCAAAACATTTGAAGAGATTATGTTTTAATGTTAATATTGCTAAATCATTTTGTTAACACACAAGTTTAATTATACTTTCAATATTAAAAGTGAAAAAGCCTGTATACAATATAATACGGTAATGTAAAAAAGAAAATAAAGACTTGAGAAAAGTTACTGAAGCAAACAAAAGGAACATTAGAATTATAAGAATCATTATATTTCATATATACAATAAAAAAGTTTTCTGACTTCGAGCACCTTAGAAAATTGTTAAAAAAAAACAACTATAAATGTTTATCACTTCCTAAATAGCCATTAATCCACTATTGACTCCATGCTATATAGGTCAATCAACCCTATTATTGGAAAAGGATTCTCTAAAAATCAATTAAGTATAAATTTTCTTAACACATTATGGATGTATATTTAATTAGGTATGTAATTCTGTATACATACATGTTTGAAAGTATTCTCTCATTTTACTCTTGGGAAAAAAATTAATTTTTTACTATTTGTATCTAATAGTGTATATTATTTGTAAATATATTCGTTTTTAGAGAGTACATTGGAAAGTTTGTGTTTGATTATATAATTCAATGTTTTAATGCTCATAATAAGAAAAAATATTTAAAAAGTAAGTATTCCATTTCACGATTTCTATTTCTAATGCGAGAAAATAAATTATTAGCAACTGAAATTATATATTGTATTTTTAAAAGCAAATAATACATGTTAAAACTTTCTTATATTGTTAAGTTACCTTCTTTATAATGTCCGTTGACTTTATCTTCAGCCATTCTGTAAACCGCAATAAATGGATTCCAAAAATGTAGTTTATGAAAACTATCCTTTATAGAAACCAAACACAAGTAAAATACACCAATATGTTTATAATCGTAATATTACTTAAATTTTACAAAATGGGCACATTAATATAACTTGGACTGCAGAGAAAGCGACAGTACGCAATAACTCACGCAAGCGCTTTGATATTTAACCCATACCACTGTATTTGCCATTTGTGCCATAAATGATTAAACTGACAAGGCCGAATACGTCAGTAGCCAGTGATAATTGGTCATGGATAAAGATACGCATATATTACGTATATATAACGGACATACTATATTTCATATTGCAAAGTAAATGGAAACAAGGAAATGAATATCTAATAAATATTCTCACTCTGAAAATTAAACAATAATCATTGATGATTGAAGAAATCATAGATGACAAATATAATAATGATAGAATAATTTGACACATGACAATTGACAGTGCCTGCATTTGTGACATTCTTTTTGTATTAACAGACTAAGAATTCAAACAGAACAAAATCATAGAATAATAATAAATTAAAAAAAAATGAATTACAATTACTTTGCATAAAATTGTCCATTTTTTTCATAATTTTCATTGATACAGGCTAAAGTTTTTATAACCATAACCTTATTTTGCAATGTTATCTATTTCTATTTATTCATTTTACGTTATGTATTTAATTTAGAGTACATATTTTATAATAGTATACGTTCTTACTCCACAAAATTGATATTTTTTTATTATAATACATCACTTTCTGGAACTTCAGAATCATTATTACTAGGTATAATCTGAAAATTCTTGCTGAAGCTGAAAAGCTTCTTTTTCAGATTTCTATTTCGTATTTTTTCTTCCTTAGCAGCTGCAAAAACCTTGGACCAAGGGAAAACAGACAGCACCGCATTCTCTTTTAACATAAATTGTTGTAAATCATGGATGACATGTTGTAAATTAAAACCTGCAATTTAAACAATTATGGTAGTTTACATATAATGTATCTGTAAAAGTTCCAATAGTAGTAAAAAAGTACAAAAAATATATAAAGGAAGATGTGTATGTGTTGGCGTAACAGAACTAAAATAGCTATAAGATTTTATCCCGTATGTCACAACACTCTGTAAAACAAATGATAAATTAATAAAATAATTAAATGCCTTATATTACAATCATATATTTATAACTTCGATCAATAACACTACTAGTTATCGGGTCGGCGTAAGAAATCCGTCTCAGTAAATATTACCTCATTTGAAATTGAGCGTATATTTCTATTAGTTCTATGTTAAAATGTTCAAAGTTATAATAATTAAAAGATTGCCAACGTAAACACGTGTCAATGTCACGTCACAATGCCGCAATATATATTTAAAACAACAACAAAAATAATGCGCGAAGAAGAAATTTTTCAGATGGAGTGTCTTAATTTCGGTAAAAACTTATAGATTAGTCAATATTTTAAGATTTAACCTACGAAATAATATAAAAATGAAATTTGGAACAATTTTAAATCCGCTAAGGACGTTGGACCAGGTCGGCCAATATATTATACGCGCCAATACAAAGAAGCAAACAAAAACAAAACATAACGATTTAGCTCACAAAGCAACAACGGGAAAAGTGCTTTATGTTTTTTTTAATGTAAGGTTGATTTTACCGTACATTTTTCCGAAATAAAAAGTAGCCTATGTGCTATTCCAGATGATTCTGGCAAGAAAGAGTAACAAACATCCACACATCCATACTCACAAACTTTCACATTTATAATATTAGTATAGATGATAGGAATATTATATATTATTCATGAACAATATCGTAAAACTACTAAAATAATCTTTAGAAAGTCTAAAGTAAAATGTATTATATAGTACCAGGTATTATTATATTTTGTTGGGTGTGGTGGCGCGGTCGGCCCTATCTACGTCGACCAGTTATGGTCCATTGTAGCTCTAGTAAGTACCAGGTAGTATACATGAACTAATTATTAAGATTAAAATATAGTATACATAAGGCAGTGGTAGCCCTGTGGTAACGCGCATGCTTAGGAAACCGAGTGATGCAAGTTCAAATCTTAGGTCATGCACCTCTAATATTTTCAAGTGCGAATCATTTATTACATTATTACCATTTGCCTTACGGTGAAGGGAAACATCGTGAGCAAATCTGCATGTCTGAGAAAACCTAGCAAGTTTTCGAAAGACATGTGAAGTCCGTAGTACTTGACCAGTGTGGTGGACTATGGAAATAGAAGAAATAAAATTACCAGACGAACTACTGTTCGGAGAAAACTCAGATTATTTACCTGTGAATGTGAGTTCTGAGATATTATGTGAAGATATTTTTAATCTCCATGTTTTATATCTTCAGTTTGGTATTGACAGTCCTCCATCGTATAATCTACGCAAATATTTGTTTAAAATAAAATAACTGGCAACACTACATTTGCAATGCGTCCTGCGTTGCCGATCTGGGGGGAATTCCCCTTTTTGGGGGGAATTTCACGTATGTGAGGGGCAAAAAAGGGTTATAAGAATAAAAGGGGAATTCAATACTCCAAATGCAATAAATATATAATTTATACTTGTATGTACATCTAATAAGGCTGGATGGGCTATGATTCTTTTGCCTGTCCCCTTAGTTGATAAAAAGAAACTAAAAAATAAGGTCTATGGCTAGACTTGTTGGCTGCGTCCTGCGTCTTTACGTGTTGGTTAGTTTCGTTGCACAGAGATGGCACTGTGGCACAGAGTCAGACGTCAGTCAGTCAGAGTAAATATTGTTCTGTGGTCAGAGTGTTTATTTTTCTTGTAAAAAGTTTTGCTAAGTTACGATGGATAAATTCATCAGTAAACTAACCAAAAGATCTCGAGAAAAGGTATATATTTACTCACTATTATAAAATTATTTCGAAATTGATAAGTAGGCATTTCTAAAGTGTTTTTACTATTGTATAACTAGTTAAATCATTACTACAATACGAGACATTTTTGGGAATTTCATAGAATGAATAAGTTTAAACTGCACGTCTTTACTAATTCCTTGGGCCATTAACGTAGTGTTCTATCCTACTGACTAGACTATTTGGGGCTATTCACATTCCTAACCTCTAAATACCTAAATATGTAGTTCGAGTTTTTAAATTTGTTTTGCTTTTTTTCTCTTCATTTTGGCATCACGCTACTTGCGTATTTGTCACAGAGATATTTTATAATTTTAACGTAGCGAAAAGCGGAGAAACGTTTTTGTATTGTTTTTTTGCTTTCGATGTTTTTTCATAATCAATGTTGCAACAGTATAACTATTTTCCCTATTGTCGGGTATTTCTGAAAGCCTAAACGCAATAGTTTGTGCATATCAAGACTAACGATATTTTAAATTATATCCATTTTTAGGAGATAGCCAGTGCCATAGATGACGGAAATTCACCAAGTACTTCCAGTTCTGTTCAAGAAGTGGCAAACAACTCTGAGCAAATTCCTTCTACATCTGCACAGATGACATCAAGCACTCGTGAAGAACCTATCGAAAAAAAGAAACGATTTAATAAATTTCTAGATTCTTGGACTACTCGGCCTGAATTCAAGGGATGGTTAACGAAACACAATGAAATTAGAGATGGTCACGAACTAGCATTTTGCAGAATTTGTAATATGACTGTAATCGCACACAAAAGTGACTTAATACGCCACCTGAATTCAAAAAAACATCTTCGAATTTCTAAACAAGTATCGGGATCAAAAAAAATTGACGATTTAGTGCGGGAATCATCTGTAGACGTTAAAGTACGTCGTGCAGAATTAAAGCTTTGTGCAATGCTTGCTACAAATAACTTACCGTTCTCGTTGATGGACACTGTTATCCCTTTAGCTAAAGACATTTTCACAGACTCTGAGATCGTAAGCAAATTGGCAGTACGACGAACTAAAGCCTCTCATTGTATAAAAAATGCTTTAGGCAACAACTTGGCTAATATTGTGTTTGATGCACTTAGAGTTCCTGGCGCTTTCTTCTCCATAATTATGGATGAAACTACAGACTGTAGTACTATTAAACAGCTTGCGTTCACAGTTATTTATTTTAATGTTGAAAGTAACAAAGTTGAGACCCATTTTTTTGATATGATAGAGGTCAAATCCGGAGATGCCATATCTTTAGTGAAGTATTTAACAAATGTGATAGAATCAAAACAAATACCATTATCGAATCTCATAGGCTTCTGTTCAGATACTACGAACGTAATGATTGGAGAGCACAACTCAGTGTTTTCTCATTTGAAAGCCGCATTACCTAGCATAGCGTGCATCAAATGTTCCTGCCATTTAATACATTTAGCAGCATCTAAAGCATGCTTAAAACTCCCACGATCTGTCGAAGATCTTATAAGAAACTTGGGGTCGCACTTCAGCCGCAGCTCTTTTAGACAAGAAAAATTCGCAGAGTTTCAAGCTTTTTTTCAATGTGATTTACACAAAATTTTGAACGTAGCTACAACACGCTGGCTGTCTGTGAAAAACTGCGTAGATCGTGTGTTACAACAGTATACTCCCCTGAGAGAATATTTAAGACTAGCTGTTTTCGAGGATCCCTCTAAAACAACCGAAGAAATGGTGGCTACAATGGATAATGAGTTCACGGTTATTTATTTAGAATTCATGTCTTATACTTTAGGTTTGCTGACTCAATTCAATTTATTGTTTCAGTCAGAAACACCACTGCTATATAAAATGAAATCTTCAGTCGAAAATCTGTTGAAAACTGTGTGTAGCAATTACATCACATTTTCTTATGTGAAGTCTTGTACTGATATAATGAAAATTGAGTTTGATGATGAATCCAAATATGACAGATTGGACAGAGTGTATCTAGGTGTATTAGCTACCGAAAGCTTACAAAAGTTAAAAAATAACTCACAGGTTCCTGAAACTGATGTCAATATGTTTTTGATAACTTGTCGCAGCTTTTATGTGGAGTTGGCTAAACAAAGCCTACAGAGGTTTGACTTTAAGGACAGTCTTTTTAATTTTATTGACTTGGTAAATCCTTCTGTTGCTCAAAGTTTCACTTTTAAATCTTTGAAGCCAATCTTTGTAAGATTTCCAGTATTGTACGATTATTACAACATGCAAGAAGTTGACGATGAATGGCGAGAACATGCTCTACTTGATCATGAAAGCTACGACTTGCATCCTTCAGATGGTGCTGAGGAGTATTGGCGTAAAGTTTTCCACTTAAAAAATGCCCTTGGTCAAAGTTTGTTTCCAAATTTAAAAGGCATTTTAAATGCCTTGTTAGTTTTACCTTTCTCGAATGCATCCGTGGAACGTGTATTTAGTTCTCTCAAAAATATTAAAAATGATCATAGAAATAAACTAAAAACAAGCACGATAATTGCCCTAATGCAAACTAAAGACCAAATAAAAGATTGTGTAAAATTTGAGCCGACAATAAATATGCTCAAAGCGAACCTATACAAAAAGTGATGTATTTGTTTTAGTTTTTGGAATAAAGTTTTCATTAATAAAACATTTTTATTCTTTTTTTCCTACATCATGAACTTCGAGGGGAATTTTGCAATAAAAAGAGGAATTTTTCAACGTGACGCGGGGAATTTACAAAACTAACTGTGGCAACACTGAATGCGTCATGAACTGAAGAAATAATATTTCAGACAAGACAACAATCGCAACGTTGACAATTTTGTGTTAAAATAATGGCAGAGAAAAGGAAAACTAAAAAACGCAAAGAGGTATGTGTAAATCTAAAATGTATTGTGTAAAGGAAACATATATTCATATATAACACATTTATGACCATAATTAAATATTTATTAATAAAGCTATGCATTTCCATTTGCCGAAATATTTGTCGTTCTCATGAGCATGTTTCTATTTAATCACAGTTTATTTTTCATTCAACGAAATGAAATATTGTTGTTTTTCGAACTGTGTTACACATTCCGGTCAATTTCGCTAATGACGTAGTTTGGTCAACAATTATCTAGTCGCTGAAAACAAACTATGCGATTAAATCTTTTATAAACTAGCAGTTATGGACTCGTGTTATTTAAAATGCCATATATTTATTGTAACATATTTCTATGGCGTAGTGCGCAGTATCCCTTATTTAAAACAACAGCATGGTATTTTAAAACATTTTAAAAATAAACCTCAATCCTTCCGGCTGTTCTTTGTTTGATCTGTGCCAACCGCCTTACGAATCATTTATTTTATTTGTTTACAGCGAAAGAAGGTATGTTTTAGTTCTTAATATTAGTCATTTTATTAAAAAACTTATATAAGTAATAGAGTATATGTTTGTCTTGATTAAAAGTGTTATTTATTTCATTTGTGCCATTGATTTCACTATTTCATTACATATTCTCATTACTATGAATATATTTCTACATTTAATATTTAATAGATGACACAATGTAATTATAATAATTAATTATATAATATTTAATTGTGCATTATGTATAGTCCAATTAGTCTACCTAATTGTTTTTATTTTGATTGCTTATATTTCCAATTGAAGGTAATTGTTTGCATAGAGATTGTTTTAGGGATTGAAGTGACATTTTTGTAAATGTTTGTAGATTCTATGGGAATTGCAGCAAAAGCAGTAGTCTATCTCGGTCTGCACTCCTAATATTTACAAGGATCGGGATGAATCTTTTGGTTTTAAGAATTATTAATTAGTAGTCTGCCCATACCCTTCACCAGAATACTTTTTTTATAATAAATACATGCATAGAACCTTGTGTAACCATTGCAGGGGTAAAATTTAAAATAAACCTTCCTAAAGTTCTGAATTGTAGTTCCTATAATTATGTAATAAGCTTATCAAAGTTTCAGCCCTTTCTAGTTTTTATTCTGACCAAACAACTTTTTATCAGGCAAGGTTACAGCCTGAAATTTTGGAGGGGGTCACTAATAATAATACAATATGTCGAGTAAATTAGACTATTCACAATACACAATTTTATTGCACACATTATACAACAAATGGAAGTCTTCTATTTTTATTGGCAAATCGGCTGATAATATTTGAGACGTCTGGGGCTATCTCTGGATGAATATTTAGAAGTGCTAAATATGTCAGCCTCTCTAACATGTTTACACTCAACCAAGTTTTTACACGCCTTAGTGTAGAAAATGATCTTTCTGATGTCGCACTACTTGTAGGAAAAGTTAGTAGTATATATATATATGTATGTATACTATATAGTATGAGAACTATAAACGTATCAACAGCGTATCATACCCGTACATAACGGTTTTAGTGCTGCGTATGCTCACCAGTGCGCCGCCTGCGCGCACCGGCCCCGCGACGTCGCGTGCCAGGCAAGAATGAGGGAGTGTACCGACAAAATATTCTCGCCGACAATTGTTACCGTTCCGTACACGGCATGTGACGGTGCCTGTCCGGTGCCGGTCTATAACGGAAAGGTCTAGTGGGCAGAGTCTCATACTTTTCAATACATACAAACAATATTTTTTTGTCTGACACGGTCCTAGCACGGTCATGGTATGAGACGACACCTTAAAATTTTAGAAGATTTTTCAATTTGACGTGTACAATTTTTGGGGACGGGTCATGTCCCCTGTGACCATCCTCTTTGGACCGCGCCTGCATTGAATATAATTTTTTTTATAAAATATTGAATTTACGAAAAAAAAAATGGTGTTTACTTAATTAGCATAAAGATCGCTATTTTTTACAGTTATTGTTTGCGATTTGTATAGAGAATATGTAAAGCAACACAAGTTATTCTTGTAGACCTACATCGCGTCTATAAAGTATAATATGTTGAGTAGAGAATGTCCCACTTTCACCGGCAATCAGTATAGTAGCGTTAGTCGTGAATTGCCATTATACCGCGCGGGTGTTTACGTGTCTTTGCATTGATGATTGAAAATGAGAGATTTTGTGAGTAATATTTCTTTCTTTCTTTCTTTGTGAGTTTATGGTGATTTCTTTAAACTTAGTTGACGATAAATAATCAATTTTATTAAATTATCGCACTTCAGGTAATAGAAGAGGTTTAGGAGTTTAAAAGTTTAAACGTGAAAAACCTTTTTTACAGGATTGTTTTTTTTTTATTAGGCATAAAACCTACTTATATTTTATAGTTCCCTAAATTGCATTTTAAATTAAAAAAGAAATACTAATAAAACATCGTTTCAAATTAAGAAATTCGTGACAAACATAACTTTACGCGGACTATATTTATTGGACAGCTTTCCTCTTTCGTAATGTTATAAAATATGAAAGCGAAATTGTGTTCCTTGGTTTAATCTTTGCTCTCTTAGAAACAGTTCGATTTCTTTTGTTGTTTATAGAAATGGCTTACTTTTTAGTAATACTACATAGAAATAGATAATTATGGACAGGGTCGCATTTAGATGTGCCCAGGGCATTTAAGTAGTAGTAGCATGTAATTTACAATGCAATTAAGTAAGCTTTTTTTGAATTTTTCTTTTTTATTTGTCAAATTACGAAAATTCTAAAGTTAGGTAATCTTGTCAACAAGACAACGAATTAATAGGTTAAAAAAACTCCTTTTTGCACTATTGTAAATCCGGCCCGCGCTAGGGATGTACCTGAGTGAATGCTATACTAGTATAATCAGCGCTGGATTTAAAAAAACTCCTTTTTGCACTATTGTAAATCCGGCCCGCGCTAGGGATGTACCTGAGTGAATGCTATACTAGTATAATCAGCGCTGGATTTACACTAGGGACACTCGGGCCCAGGGCTGCAAAATTTGAAGGGTGGGAAAAAAAAATCTCTTCGCGTTGTCTAAATTGCTTTTTTTTATTTTCCAAAAAATCAATAATAAAAAAAATAGTACATTTTTCGAAAAATTGAAATCATTTATGATTATTTTTGCGTTTTTCAAAAAATTAATTAAAATTAAAAAAAAAATTATCGAAACTTTACCCATTTTATGCAAAATCTCGATAATTGAGCGGCATTTTTACTATGCCCAGGGGCGGCGTTAAGGTTGAATCCGGCACTGAGTATAATTATCTATATATACCTAAATAGGCAAAGGCAAAACAGTTCAACACTTTTTTGTCCTGTTTGTGCACCTTTTTTTTCTTTTTTTTGGTTAGTAGCAATTGACGAACTTTAGTGTTACCAATAAAAAAAAGTCCTCATTTTTTAGATTTTGGTCGAATTACCATCACTGGGCGATCGCTTATTATTATAATTCCACCGGCCCGGTATGAATCTCTTTTAAGTGCTAATTAGTATTTTAAATAAAACTATCTTTTCGGATTTTGTCGCGGATTTATTTGTATTTTTGTTTCCCGACGTTTCGAATGCTTTACAGCAATCATGGTCACGGGAGACATTCTCTCCCGACAAAATCCGAGAAGATAGTTTTATTTAAAATGTCAAATATTCGCGTAAATCTAAGAAAGTATTATGCAAATTAGTACTTTAAGTGCCACGTTTTAGTATTATTGCAAATAAATAATAATTAATATAAGGCCTTATTTAATGAATTGTATTAAAATAACATTTAGGTCTTAAAAATGTAAGAACGATAGTTTTATTGTTAATTTATGAGAAATTACTGGCACACGTGCTGAAAAGGCATTACAACGGAAATAAGACATAACATTTTATTTTTTAATAACTTGTCAATGAAGAAATAATAAAATCGATTCAATAATTTTAGAATTTATAGATAACAAACAAACAAAAAATATTTCTTCTGCATCCATATAGGTTGCCTATATAGGTATACCTATATAGATATATTTTATTTTGTGTATCTCGGAAACGGCTTTAACGATTTGGATTAAATTTTGTATATAAGAAAAGGTTTTCCTTTTTAAGTTTATTTATATACATGTATTTTCTGAAAAAATGCAATTTTTATATCTGTTTCAAAAAACGCTCGGCGAAGCTCGGTCGCCCAGGTAGGTACTAATATTTATACAAACAAAGTACAGGTACAACTTTAGGCTAAGTAATTAAAGCCTATCTGTTAAATACAAACCCTAATCAAATATTTTCGAAATCGGTGGCAGCCCATACAAAGCAAAGCACACCGACTTCGAAAATATTTGATTAGGTATGTATAGTAAATGAAAACTAGCAATCAGTTATTTTTTACTTTTTAGTGCTTTTGTTTGAAGTCGGTTTTTATTTTTTTGTTAATGTATTTATACGAATATCGCATCAAGTGTTCAAGATAGAGATAGAAACGAAACTGTTCTTATGTAACTGATTAGTTAATATATGCGGTTTTACTGGCAATTGCAATGTCAGGGCCAATGTTACGCAAACTTCTAACAGATCGTTTTATTTAAGGTCACTAGAGAAAAAGATTTATTTGTATTCCGTTTGAAAAAGTCACTCGCTTCGCTCGGGTTCGTCCCTATGTATATTTATATAATAATAGTTTTACAATAATGTATGAAAGTCTGCCCGATTTGTTGACATTTACGATTACTGCTCCGCTCCCTTGGGTATATATATATATATATATATATATATATATATATATATATATATACTTATATATATATATACATGCGGTACTTATAAGAATAACACAATTTTTAATACTTTTATAATACAATTTTTTGAATATTTGTCTGTCTGTCTGTTTGTTCCTGATAATATCTGAAATTGCTGGACTGATTTTGACGGGACTTTCACTGGAAGATAGCTGATGTTATAGGGAGTAATATAGGCTACTTTTATTTTAGTAAAAGAATTAGGGTTCTGCTCAAAAATTAAAACGTATCTAAGGACGAACCCGAGCGAAGCGAGGGTGAGTTGCTAATTAGCTCATAAGTTCGATGCAGTGGGAAAGCACTTTGATTTCCAATTTTAGTATGTTACATGCTAACGTGTCGATTGATGACGAAGACTTTCTGTAAGATGTACTAAATCCGGCTTATTCCGGATAAAGATCTGTTCACTGCTTAGTCTTGTTTTTTATAGGATAGTCTGATTACTCCGAAATAATTATATGTCTAATCAAAAATAATTGAGGTTTAATATATTTCTATTTAATCTATATGATGGAAATGAAATGCTGTTGGTTGGTAAGCGGATTACTTGAGAACAGCTGGACCGATTTGGCTAATCATGATTTTAATATGTTCATAATAGTTTGAATCGACTTTTTAGGGATTAATTTTTGGGAAAAGTTTCCAGAAAATTGGAAAATTCTTTACCATCTCAAAGTTAACAAATTTTGTTGAAATTGGGATAAGACAACCACTTTCGGGTCCTCTACCTGATATATTCAGTAACTTTAACGCAACTAAAATTAAAGGCAAGTAGATCCGTATACTTGAGCGTTCCGTTTTACGTGACCGAAAGAAAATACGTTGGTGAAACCACATTGAAACGGTAGTGATATTGTAACTATAGTAGCTATAATGATTTACAGTGCCAGCTTTAACAGGGTTAATAGCATCTACTGGTTTTAATCTTTTTGTTCTGTTCCGCTTATATAATCAGATTTTAAACTTGGGTTCCAACAAACAAGAACACCGTAAATAAATTATGTAATTACATACTTTTCCATTGCATTTTCCTTTATTACATTAAAATTTCGATAAATTTTGTGATTGATCTACGTTTATTATACATATTTGTAAATGGTTTCTCAAAAAATAATCTCCAAAACCTAACTCAAAGAGAATGGAATTATTAAATACAATGTAATATAACTTTGTTTTGTATACTCCACCTGGCCTTGTAGCTAGTTCATTAAAAATATTTGTACCGGATGAAGGATACTGGTATTATAAAGATATGTTATCGTATAATCATCCGTAAAAATATAAATATAAACAACTTGGCGTACCTATCACGCGAACAAAGATGCGAGTAAAATCGAGTTCTAAAAAGCCTTTATCTTTTATACTTAGCATTACCGCCTTGGCGAACACTTGTAATCTCTATCCATACTATTCCAGTTTTATCTGATCCCGCCTACAACTGGCAGCCACACATATAGAACATTTTGTTAATTAGTCAACATATTGGGATAAGATTTCAACTTATCGTTTAATTCTGACTAATATATAGTTGTACCGCGAAAAGTTCCTATGAAAACTGGTCAACATTTGTGGACTGTTGCACCAAATTATAATATTATTTTATTTCAAGCAGTACCTAACCTCTATGGGATTCCCATTGGCAATATAAACAATAGCTTCTATATAATAAACTTTCCTCTAATAGACGAGATATCTTATGCTAAAAATACCGACCAATCTCCTTCCTGTCTTCTCCATTCGACATGACATTGGCGAATTATTCTCAACACTACTAGTATTCTTTTAAGCCGTTGACAATAGAATTAAATATAATCTAATGCAGAAGAAATATATTAATACAAATCTATCCTACGGGAACCGTACATTTTTCCGGGATCAATAGTAGCCTATGTGTTATTCTGATGTATGAACTATATTTTTGTAAAGTTTCATTAAAATCCATTCAGTAGTTTTTGCGTGAAAAAGTAACAAACATCCATACATCCTCACAAACTTTCGCATTTATAGTATTAGTAGGACGTTAACAATATTTCAAGTGGGAACACGAGGCATATTTCAACACCAAGCTTTTAGCTTCATAATATTAATAAATAACGTCTATGTAATAAAATAGTATGAAATCAAATAATATGAGAAGATTACCTAACCTAAGTCTTTAAAAGATTTGCGAATGTTATTTATCGTGTAATTTGTCCTGAATAATCACATTCTTGATACATTTATCTTCAAGAAAAGCTTACATAGATTGATAACAAAATCTATTATAATTGTTTTCTATTGATTTTACTATTGGTATGTGTATTGTTATGTGGTTTAAATATAACGCACACAGTATTAAGTATTACTGACTTAATTTATAATAGTTTCTTGTAGCTTTAATATAATTGTTTTTATAAGTTTAAAACAAAAACAAATCTGTCTCTAGGGAACCGTATATTTTTCAGGGATAAAAAGTGTTATTCCAGACTATAATCTATCTCTGTGCTAAATTTTATCCAGATCCGTTCAGCCGTTCTGGCGTGAAAGAGTAACAAACATTCATACTCACAAACTTTCACACTTATAATATTAGTATAGATAACGTGTCGGTTTACTTGTTTGTAAGTTCCAGAAAATTTCAAATTGTTATGTTTTTTTTTACAATAAAAAAATCTGTATCTCTAAAATTAAAGATTACATTTTTTTCAGCAATTTAAAAAAAATAAAGTTAAAATTGGCTTCTTTTTCTACTGCCTACGATTTTTTTTAATTTACGTTCTTCCCTTAAACTTAAAACCTCTCTAACTTGGTTAATTTTGACCGGAGGAAAAAAAGGCAAAATCTTTTTGATGTCAAATTTTAAGCTCTAAATATTTTATTAAATCTTTTTTGTCTAACTTTTACCGTTTTCGAGTAATTTCGAAAATACAATTTTGACTATTTTTTTGAACCCTTGCCGGGGGTTTCAGACACTAAAACCTTTACACATTGTTTTTATATCATTAAAACTACAATATATCAAAAATGCAAAGTTGAGTGCCAACACTTTGATTTCAGACCTTATTTGATTGGACTATTTATTTTTTACAGGAGTTCGGTGAACCTCCTGTGCCTGAGAAGCCGACAAGTGAAGAATATTCAGTAGCAAAATGGCTGAAAGCGAACGTCCCCACCAAGAAAACCAAATTCCTAAACCACCATGTTGAGTATTTTACAGGTAATTATTTATAATATTATGGAAAATTAATAATTTCATATAAACTAAAAATACTATTGTAGAACCGTACAGTTGTACAACGAATCTAGTATCATCAATACCAATAAAAGATAATAAGCTTTGCTTGATAGGAAGGAAAGGAAAAAAACTTAATAGGTAGTAGGTATATTAAAGAGGTAATAGTGTGAATTGATAAAAAATATTTTTTCTAACGTAGGGTATTTATATTGTATATCGTAAATCCCCTAAATCTATCTACTAGGTACATAAATAAAAATGAATGTTCGTACGTGTGGCCTCTATGCGTTCCACAATCATTGACCTGATTGTGTTAAAATTTGTGGGTTATGCCGTATACGCATGCGAAGGTTCCATTCGCAAAAACCAATTTTTCTTTGGACATTTGTCATTTATTCCGTTCCTAAACCATTCAAGTACGCACGCGAACGAAGCGAGGGTAACTTGTTAGTTTTAGTTATAGTATATATAGTTTTTTCGAGTTCACTTGAATAAAATCGAAACGTGTAAAAGAAATGACGAAAGAAAAATAAATAAAAATGACTAGAAAAGAGTGATATTACAAAGACAAAATATATTTTTTACTTCCATGCCTCATTTCGCATGTCGGCTTACTACATTTCAGTGTACGTATCATTATTTTTTACTAGGTAAAAGGTAGATCCGAGATAAAAAGTAGCCTATGTCACTCTCCAGCCCTCCAATTATCTCCATACAAAAAATCACGCCAATCAGTCACTCTGTTTCGATGTGAAAGAAGGACAGACAAACACACTTTCACATTTATAATATTAGTATGCATATTTGTCCTTAGTGCCTCCTGACTGAAACGGACTTAACCGATTTGCGATTTAAGGTATAGGTGATACGACGTCATATTTGTTTTAATATTTTAATCAATCTCGCACACTGACCCACTTTTTAGGGTTATCAACAGTTTGTTTCTCATTCAATCTAAGTTATTGCTTATTTAAAATTTAATGTTTAGTTTCTCAAACAGAGATTGTTCTGATTGTTGATACAATCCATATCTAAAATGATTTTTCATGCATCGACGGAACATATTATGAAAGTAATGCCTCTGTGAACAAAAATAGTTTTCATTTTTAAATAAAACATTTATAATTTTTAGCAGATGTTTTTGAAGCCTGTTTTCGTTTTTAACAATACGCATGTTCCTTATTTACTATAACCATAAACAATATTTTGAAGTCTTACCGATTTCAGTCACGCCGGCCTATCTCACTGAGACTAGCCATCTGCTCAGGGTATATTATAGTGCACAAGTGTAGGCGCGGGCACAACGTGCACTCTCTATTCCTTTTTTGCTCAAAGTCTAACGGGACGATACTTCGATATGACACGTAAGAGTTAGGTAGATTCGACGGCTTTACCGGCAGTTTAGTCGGGCGCGAAGCCAAAAAGGCACTGGGAGATAGCTCACTTTGGTGGGCGGTGTACCATGCGGGTTGCTCCTGGTACTTCTCTGACGGTTTTATGTGCTTTTCGAGGCACGGGGGTGTAACACCGCCAACTTCCAACTCCGGGCTACTACTTAAAATATGTTAACAGAAGTACTCGGTAACTAAACTTGGCCCGACCCGGGACTCGAACCCAGGACCTCCGGGTGTGCAGATATACATGCTAGCCACTACACCACCGAGGCAGTTAAACAAATAAGTATAATGACTTATCAAATAAACATGATAATTATCTTCTTATTCTTATCATTTCAAGGTACAAAGGCAGTAGATGCTTTGCTCACATCAAAATGGGCGACGGGGAAAAACCCAATATTCACAACGCGACACGAGGTCACAGATTACTTGCACCAGATGCTCGTGCACAAACTATTCCACAGAGCTAAAAAGGTATCTCAACATTTGATTTTTTTTTATTTCAGCTTCCTGCAGATCTCAGATATACAGGTTAATCTGCCTTCATAGTTTTGGTTGTTTTAACTTAAAGGTTTTAATTATGCAATTTAACTCCACGGCCATTTCAACATACATATTTTTGATGATATATTTGACGAGGGTATTTTTGTTATACAAAAAATAGCTTATAAATAAATTTTCACCGGCTGTAAACAAGTTTCTTTTATTATTTTTTTTCATAGAATGGCAGCTATACCTTACGGATTTTTGTAAACGTTTTTTATAAAAATATATGTCCCACATATCCTCCTTTAAAGAGTCGTGTTGTACATTTCTAGGTTCCGGTCAGTGAGCAAGAATTAAAAGGGAAATCAAAGAAGAAAGATATTGAGAAGTCGAGTAAGAGTGGAGACGAGAAGGACAAAGAGAAAGATGGAGAGAAGAGTGCTGCCGAAAGTAAGGTGAGAGTTCTTCAAGACTAACTCGCACTTGACCAATATTTCGTTGTAAAACAGACAAAATTTTAATAAGAACTTACAATCACAATATTTTAACACTAATAGTTTTTAACAATAAACTTAGACCCTATTTTAAATGTTGGAAGATGATTGTACGCATACCTTTTTTTTTTTTTTTTTTTAACGTTGGGAAATGCATTTACGCACGAGGTGTGGGACTCACCGGCAAAGCCAGTACTACCCACTAAAACCCAACAAAGCCTTCCCCCGTCTTAATGGGGCGTCGCAGGATCGCTTACGCATTCAACTACGACGCCCCGACGGCAGGTCTGCCGAAGCAGACCACAACAACCACGGGGTTGCTCCACAGTCCACTCTGCTATCAGAGAAGTACCAGGAGCAACCCGCATGGTATACTGCCCTCCTAAAAGGGCCAACTCCCACCGCCCACCGAAGTGGGCCACCTCCCTGTGCGTTTCTTGGCTTCGCGCCCGGTTGGGTTGCCGGGCACTACTGAGCCCCCCCACCACGACAAGGTGAACGCACGTTGGGGGGGATTGTACGCATACCTGCAGAAAAGGTGGTTATGAAGAGATTCACCGGTTTGAAAAGTTAGCACTACCCACTAAAACTCAACCATGATTATTCAGTGGTAGACCTCCCAAACGATAAAGCCATCTGCCCCCCGACCAGACATTCTCTTGAGGCAACCATACAACCTCTAATGGGTTATTCTTTATAGTGGTTGATATCTCCGTCTACGATAACCAAGAGGTTGCTTTCGCGGTACATTCTGCTATCACAGAAGTACTATGAGAACCCGAATAAAACATCTTCCAAATGTATCTCTTAGCTTCATCTGTTAAATTGTCGGACATTACTAAACTCTCTCACCACGACAAAGTTAATACACATTTGATGATCTTTCTTCTACTTTAAAACCTTACCTAACCTAATAAATCAATTATAAATTTCAGGACACAAAAGACAAAGACAGCAACAAAGAGAAAGAGAAGAAGAAACGCAAGATCCGTTTAGAAATGCACATGGAACAAGTGTTCCTCGACACTTTGGACGCCTACGTATGGATATACGACCCTATGCCGTGGTATTACTGGCTATGTGGGGCTTTAGTCGTTTTTGGTACTATCGGAGTGTGTATGTTCCCTCTATGGCCAGCCACTGTACGGTTAGTGGATTATTGTTTTTATATCTTTAATATTATATCTTGCCATAATACCCCATGTATTTTCTCTTTTTTATATCTGTTTTCGTTGACGACACGTTTGGCTCAGTTTGTAGTGACCCTAATTGATGTGCCAGCGGTCGTGAGTTTGAGTTCCGCTGGCATTTATTTGTGTCATGAACACGAATGTTTGTATTCCAGTCATGAGTGTTTATATTTATAATATGTATGTATTTAAAGTTGTATATGTTTAGGGTATCAACTATCTGTTATCCATAACACAAGTCGCGTAGCTTACCATGGAACTAGATGGTGCTGTGTGTTAATGTCCCAACATATATATAAAGTATATTATTTTTATGGCATGTCATTCTCTTCGTATCTGTAATTTCGAGCATGCTCCAATGTGTACTTTTTTGTTTTCAAAAATGTCCAATTAGTGAATCGACTAATCAAAACGGATCAAGGCCTCCCACTACATCCTGATATTGATACTGTTGACAATTTGACTAGGATAGTTACAATATCACTGAATGTGCTTAGTGAAATTATAATATACCTAACATTGTCCTGTGATGTTGAAAAAGAGTAGAATTTATAAAACGCCGGTTTTTACAATTTACCTGCGACATATATAGGATGCTTCCTTTTAATTAAGGCAACTTTTCCATCTATTCAACCCATTTACTACGATTTTAATTTACAGTAAAGGCGTGTACTACCTCAGCGTGGCGGCGGCAGCATTCCTAGTAATGATAATAGCACTCGCAGTACTCCGGGTGGTTGTGTTCTGTCTTGTGTGGATATTGACCCTGTCCCGGCACCACCTGTGGCTATTACCAAATCTGACCGAAGACGTTGGCTTCTTTGCTTCCTTCTGGCCTCTTTATAAGGTGAGAATCCATACTAATATTATAAATGTGAAAGTTTGTACGGATGGATGGATGTTTGTTACTCTTTCACGCCAGAACGGCTGAACGAATCTGGATGAAGTTTGACATAGAGATAGATGATAGTCTGTAATATAGGCAGTTTTCTATCCCGAAAAAATTACGGTTCCCGTGGGATAGATTTGTTTTTGTCTAGGGACAAACCCGAAGCCAAACGAGTGAGTCGCTAGTAACAAACATATGTACACACAAATACATACATACATACAAACATTCGCATATATAATAGTACTCAATTAAAGCAACTTTATTCACAGTACGAATACCGTGGTCCGGGTTCTGAAAGCGATAAAGCGTCGAAAAGCAAGAAGAAACGTAAGAAAGACAAGCATTCGGATGACGATGAAGAGAAACCGTTGATAACTGAGCCAGTGCAAGACGCTAGTGTAGAAGCTGTTACTGAGCCCGAGAATAAAGAATCAAAGTATGTATATTTAATTTATTTGTATGTAATTTTCTTACATAGCCAAAAGCCAGAAGGTGATAATATTTTAAGTGCTGGTACGTCAAGATGGTCACTGGCACATTAGTATGTTTTGGAGTAAGTACAGTGTTTGTATTGTATTCAGCTCTTTTTTAAAGTCTCATTGCTGGGCACAGGTCTCCCTTCAATAAGAGGGGGATCAGGCCATAGTCCACCACGCTGGCCAAGTGCGGGCGGACTGAGCATGTCTTTCGAAAACTTGCTAGGTTCTCTCAGACATGCAGGTTTCCTCATTATGTTTTCCTTCACCGTAAGGCAGGTGGTAATCATGTTGGGAATGATTCGCACATGAAAATGTCAGAGGTACGAGACCCGGGATTTGAACCCGCTTCACTCGTATAAACTATAAATTGCTAGAGAGTTATCCTTGCTTCGCTCGTGTGCCTGCGACAAAAAATGTACTCGCCTAAGAGCTCATTTGAACAGTTGAGCGCGCTTTTAATTGTTTTTTCTTTTGTGAAAACAACTTTGAGCGTTGTATTTAAAGTCCAATTTACATTGTTTTAATTTTTTTTTCAACTAGAATAATTACCTAAACACAATTGGTGACAGTTACAAGAGAACTTTGCATGGGATTGTGTATCTAGTATTTTTTTTTTAAATTATGCCTATGTGTTATAAACATGCCTTTTAAAATATTATATACATTAGGAATAAGATATATTGCCACTTATGAATTCAAGCGTCTAAGCACCGCAGTGTCTTCAATAACTAATTTATTTAAATTTATTTTCCTAGCCAAGAGTCGCCAGAATCGCAAGAGTCACCAGAAGCTCCAGAAGCACCGGACCCAGCAACAGATAAGCATTCAGAATCAGAATCTGATTCTCAACGCTCTTCAACGGACAGGGACTTTGAAATGGTCGAGCCCGCAGATGTAGAGCCAGATTCTAAAGATAACACCACTTAGATTATAGTGTATGGTTAGTTTTATAATAATTGACTATTCTAGACAGGTACATGGATTATATTATAGACGATTATATACAATTATATAATAATATCTTCTTTTTATTTGTTTTTATTAGCAAAAAGTTTTTTTTTTGAAAAAAAAGAAAGCAGATATTTTTTTTTAATTTTACCACTTACATAATATGTATATAGAATACGAAATGATTATGATATGTAAATCAAAGAGATTTATTAAAGAGATGTATGACATAAAAGCATGTAGACTTTTTGATTTAAAACCAAATCGATTTTTAACTATGCATGTATTAATATTGTAATTAATTTTCTTCTGAATAAATCTCCAGTGGTTGATTAATAGAGAAATTAGAAGAAGATTAATTAGAGAAGTTCGTTATTAAGAACTTGATACAAATTTTAAATAGTAAAATGAAATTGGATAAAAATATAGTACAATATATATTACTAGCGACTCACACTCGCTTGGTTCGGATTTGTCTTTAGGTATATACGTTTTAACGGTTAATATGGAATATATAGAGTATATATTATATATACTGTATGATGAGTTGTTCTGGGTTGTATTATAAAATGTATTCCCGTGGGAATGAGATAATCTCCCGCCGTAAAAAGTAGCCTATGTCACTCCAGCCCTCCAACTATCTCCATACAAAGAATCATGCCAATCCGTTAATCCGTTTCCACATGAAAGAAGGACAAACAAACAAACTTATTTTCACGTTAATAATATTAGTAATATGCATTTAAAATATGATTTTGTGTTTTTTTTTTGTGTGTGTGGACCAATTTTATTGACTTTTTTCTGTCGAAGTAGGATTTTTTCAATGTACCTGTCTCGAAAAGTTTTTACACATAGATCGGTTGTTAGTATTCACAAATAAGAAAGGATTTTAAAATATTGCAATACACATGTATAATAATTCTTTTTTTTATAGTGCTAAAATAAAAAAATAAAAACATTTTACGCCATTTTTTTTGTTTTAGTACTATAAAAAATATAAAATGAATTATTTTGTGATTTTTAGATAAATATTTAGTTATATTTATGCAATTATTTTGCACATCATTTTTGTAATTTGCAAGTTTTAATCGATTTTTGTTTAACAATAAATTATTTTATTTATTGACACGAGTAATTGATAAATTGATGTACTAATTAATGTAACAAAATAATATATCGATTTAGCTGTAATTGGTAGCTGATTTATGTTTTTTGGTGCTGTAATGTTTTTTTTAATTATAACAAAATCTCGCATTTCATTTTCATATATAACGTACAACATAGTGTATTACAAAATGACAAGGAGATACTATGGAGGTGTTAGTTAGGTATTGTTTTTAATATATAAAAAAATTCCACTCTAAATTATATTATATATACATTTTTTCATATATAATAAATAGTCTTTTCTTCTAAACGAATTTTTTTATGAATTTTGTTCTATCCATGTAAAATATAGACAAAGAGTCCAATCTCTATGTAAAAGTTGTCTGGGAAATTTGAAAAAATAATACTAACAAGAAAGTTCATTAAATTCACACAGATTTGTTTATCTAACTTCATCCTACTGACATACGGACAAATTCACCTGGTCACTACATCGATCAAGAAAGTACTAGATACACAATCAGCAACAAAAAATATCCTTACCGAATGAGCGCTCATTTGAACATTTGAGCGCGCTTTTGATATTTTTTTTGTGAAAACAACTTTAAGCATTGCGTTTAAGGTTCAATTTACATTGTTGTAAATTTATTTCAACTAGAATATCCAAACACAATTGGTGACAGTTTTAATAGGACTTTAGCAATCCCATGATTGTGTATTTAGTACTTTTTTGAACTACGTAAATCAGTGCGGTTTGTGGCAGTTTATGGAATTATAGGTCTAAAAATTTTGCGGACTGATTTTTCATATGAAATCTTTTGGAGATTGGACTCCTTGTGTATATTCTTCATGGTTCTATATTCGCCATTTTAATCCGTCAGCTTGTCAATTATTATAAGTTTTATTTGAAATGAAATTTTACTGCAGTACTTTGTTTTGTAAATATCTCTCTCGTTTCAAGACCTTATCAATGTTACATGACGATGTTATGAAGTTACTAAGTAAATCAAATAAAACGGTATACTCTTAAATGGTTTTTATTTACAATCGAATTAATTTATAAATATAAAAAATACGTTTTGATAGTGTGTTTGTTACTTACGCACTAACTGCTCAGCATTTGAATGAAAGTTCAATTCTCTTTTTAGATATTCTCTTATATCTAAATATTATATTCATATCTTCTCTTTATCTATTTGACGAAACGTATGGCTCAGTTTGTAGTGACCCTACTTGCTGTGCCAGCGGTCACGGGTTCGAGTCTCGCTCCACTGTACTCCAGTCATGTGTGTGTGTTTATAATATGTATGTATATATTTAAAGTTATGCATATATGTGTAGTGTATCAACTATATGGTATCCGTAACACAAGCCCCGTAGAACAAGATGATGCTGTGTGTCAATGTCTCAACATATTTAATTATTTATTTATTAATATATTTTATACGGCTGGCACCGACTACTTAGTGCCTGGAAGTCGGTTTTTTTTTAGTTTTTATTTTTTAATTAATGGAATCAAAACGTGTTAGTTGAGCACTTATTAGTAATTAGGTACTTCACCAATGTTACGTGGAAAAAGTTTAAATTAAAAGTAAATAATTCAAATTGTTTTGGTAGATTAATTTTATTTGCAAAAAGATACATTTAAAACTAACAACAATCTACATAAAATACTTCCTTTAAAATGGCACAAAATCGTTTACATAATCTTTAAAAAAAAGACTATATATATATATATATATATATATATACATTATATATATATATATATATATATATATATATATATACATTATATATATATATATATATATCCGTGTGTATGTATGTTCCCTATGGGCTATGGAATCCAAAATGGCTGGAGAGATTTTGATGTTTCCAGGCAATCTTCAGATATTATCCGCGGGTACCTACTGCTAATACTGAATTTATGGGAATGATATTCTGATCACGTGACATTTAAATGTGTGATTTCCATACATTTTTAAGTTTTGTACTAACGATAGCTATTGTAGAATATTTTATATATCTGGGTCTTAAAAACTATTTGTTTTTTGTTACTTGATTTCGTAACAAATTGTTATAAAAACAACGGACTTTTTGTATTCATGTGCGTACTATAGGTAATGTAAGAAATGACATTGAAGTTTTATTTTAACAATATATCATATATATAATAATATATGCTTAATTTCATTATTTTAGTGTTAGTGCGACGATACACTTATATCTACAGGTTGCCACGTTTATCTTGTTCTATTTCAATGGATTCGAAAAGTGTTTTGAAGTTGCCAGCCCCAAATCCCTGTAAAAGAAAAAAAAATAGTAATTTCTTAAAATTATTGTTACCTATGAAAATTCTACAAAATTGTAGGCTTTTTGTGTTTAAAATATAAACAAATTATTGTCACGATGTTTTTGTTTTTTTTTTAAAGGATGGAAACTTCAGTAACCTAACATTTCTCGCAGGACAGACAGAACCTACAATCTATTCTTCACTTTCTATTTATATGACAATCTAATGTATGACATAGTCTAATGTATAGCAGCTCTTAATATAGTTTACTTTTTAAATTAAATTAGAAAAAAACAAATCCATTGCGAGTATCGAACTCACAACCTTTGGCATAATAACATTTAGCCTTTGGCAGTTTTTCACAAGCAAAAGCCAATAAATATTATTTTCTTACATTATGGTTTCTTCTCTGTATCACTTCTAAGAACAAAGTAGGTCTATCTTGCGTGTTCTTAGTAAATATTTGCAAAAGGTAGCCATCATCGTCGTAGTCTATGAGAATATTCAAGCGTTCCAGCGTGTCTATGCTTTCGGCGACTCGCACTTTACTGTGTTGTAACCGTTCACGTATTAGCTTATAATATTTCGGTGATATTGTGAGAAATTCGACACCCCGTGCACGGAGATTTTCAATCTGAAATTATAAGTAGGTTAGGTACGTACAGACCATCGATCAAAAAAGACTAGATACACAATCAGCGACAAAAAATGTCCTCACTGATTGAACGCTCATTTGAACATTTGAGCGCGCTTTCAACATATTTTTTGTGAAAACAACTTTAAGCATTGCGTTTAAAGTTTAATTTACATTGTTGTATATTTATTTCAACTAGAATAATTACTTAAACATAATAATTGGTGACAGTTTTAAGAGATTTTAGCATGGGATTGTATGTATATCTAGTACTTTTTTTATCGATGGTTGTGGTACGGACATATTTTAATCGCATGTAGGGTATATTTCGGCGATCGAATTTATCTATACATATAATAACATTAGATATTTTTTGGAAAATCTTATTGAAATAAACATTATTATCGATATAGAGGCCGGATCCATAGTTTTTACAAGTTTTGTCTGTCTGTCTGTCTGTCTGTTGCCGCATCACACAAAATCCACTGGAGGGATTTTGATGAAATTTGAAAAATATTTTTATTTTAAGCTTACAAGATGAAATATACGAAAGACATGAATACTTACCGCTGTAATTATATCTTCAGTGTTCAAAGCTATATGCTGTACACCGGCGCCGCCATGGTACTCTACGTATTCCTGAATCTGACTCTTTCGTTTGCCCACAGCCGGCTCGTTGATAGGCACTTTCACTGTTTCTTCCCAATTCGCCATCACTATTGATCGAAGTGCAGAATATTCTGTGCATACTTGCGTGTCGTCGACCGACCAGAATCTGAATTTTGAGAAAAAAGTTTCGAGTTTATACATGTGGCTCGAGAGATGGGCATTATGAACTACGAATCAGTTTTCTAACTAATGCTGTCATTAACATTAGAATTGTTAACAGCTCCAGCTTCTAAGAAATCTATTGTTAACTGTAACGCCGGCGTGTCCGCGGTCGTGGTGGGATTAATATTGTATGCAAAACTCTTGTAAACTAAAAAAATCAATTAATCTTATAAGATTTACTTTATAAAGTATTTTTTAATTTTACTTTATATGTATCTACGTAAAAGGAAAGCCATTGACTTGTTTTTACCTGTATCTTTATTACCTGTGAAACTGTAAACAACGCTCGTACCAAGATGCCGCTACCTCCATACCGTTGTCCGGTTGGTTTCCCACCACGTGGTCTATGAAGTTGATTTCTATTTTTGGCCTAGAAAATATTAAAATGTATTTAAAAACATTAACATTTAATATTAAAGCAAATTATTTTTTTCTATTATACAATATTTTTTAACTAAATTTGTTCTGAGTTCTCAAACCTACGAAAAAGGTGATGTACCAAACACGACTTATAAAGTCTCACTGCCAACATTCACATATTACCTATCCAGTTTTAGAATTTCCATTGATTTTTTTATCTTTTATTTAATCTTTTCAATGGATGAAATTCAAAAATCCTTCCTCAGTAACCACTTTTGCTATACCCATAAGGAATGCAAGTGCAGAATTCCATGCCAATCAAGGGAATTATGTCTACAGTTTACACTTACATGTGTTCCTAGCAATACCCGCGGCTTCTCTCGCATTCAAACTTCCGATATAAACATTAGTTTTACAATAATGTATGGAAGTTTGCCCGATTTGTTGACATTTATGATATTTCTCCGCTCCTTGGGTAGTATTATGATGATATATAACCTATAGCCTACCTCAATAAACGGACTATATAATGCAAAAAGAATTTTTCTAATCAGATTAGCGCGTTCAAACAAATAAACAAACAAACAAACAAACAAACAAACAAACAAACAAACAAACAAACAAACAAACAAACAAACTCTGTCACTTTATAATATAAGTGTAGACTACAATAACGATTACACTATTCTTTATATGATTTATATATAAAATTTTCATTTTTATATTAATATTACAACTCACAAGTATTTCTGTATAGGGTCCTGGGGTAAAAGTTCATAGCCAGGCAGGAACGGTCCACTGTAATTTGACCTGTCTATTAATGTGTGGGTGTTATCGCCATACTGTGAATTAAAGCAAAACATATGTTTTATTGTATATGGTATGTATTCAGCCCTTTTTAACGTCCCACTGCTGGGCACGGGCCTCCCTTCAGTACGAGGGGGATCAGGCCATAGTCCACGTTGGCCAAGTGCGGGTTGGCGGACTTCACATGTCTTTTGAAAACTTGCTAGGTTCTCTCAGACATGCAGGTTTCCTCACGATGTTTTCCTTCACCGTTAAGACAAGTGGTAATCATGTTGGAAATGATTCGCACATGAAAATATCAGAGGTGCGAGACCCGGGATTTGAACCCTTCACTCGGTTTTCCAAGCGAGCGCGTTACCACTGGGCTACCACTGCCTCTGTATATGGTATGGTATGTTCAATTCAATTCAATTCTTTGCTATTTAGCTTTTAGACGTGCCAGTTGGGCACAGATTACTTCGCCAATGTCGTGTAGAATGGAGAAGACATGGTATGGTTATGTAATGTAAATATATAATATTGTATTTACAATTGGAGCCCTTTACATACTAACTTGACAAGTAGAAAAAAAAAAGTAAAAAAAAAAAAAAAAAATGAAAAAGCGTGAAAAAACATTCTTTATGATTCATTTTATTTTACTATTTATTTAAAATCAGGTATTATATAAATAATCTATACATCTATTTATGCAAACAAATGAAATTGGAATGTCTGTTTGTAATGTCAAAATAACAACGTTTTACTAAATTTATATGAAATACGGTACTTAAAAGAAAAAAAAACAATATTTAAAATTTTTGTCCGTCTGTTTGTTTCGGCTAATCTATAAAACGGCTGGATCAATTTTGACGGGACTTTCACTAGCAGATAGCTGATGTTATAAGGAGTAACTTAGGCTACTTTTATTTTAAAAAAGAATTAGGGTTCCGCAACAAAAAATATAATCCATAGAATCGTGAAAAGAACCCGTATACTTAGGGATGTATCCGAGCGAAGCGAGTCGCTAGTTTCATAATAAAAAAAAAATTTGCTTACAGTTTTCAATACTGCCATTCTAACAACGCCATTGGAATCTTTCTCCTCCCATATATCTTTAACTACGACTGCTCCTTGTTTCTTTGCATAGTCCACAATATAGTTTAGATTCTCCACTTGAAAAGCTACGTCCTTCACAAAATCGCCATGATAAGCAACTTCGTTGACAAAATCAGTCTCTTCTGGATCATATTGGGCTTGAAATACGAAGATTATCTAAAAATAGATAACATGTTAAACTTGTTATTATAATAATATCTTACATTTACGCGAATATTTGACATTTTAAATAATATGAGCTTTTCGGATTTGGTCACATGATCACGTTAGAGACTGAGTTCGCTCCTCTCATAATGTCTGTAAAGTGTAAAGCATTCGAAACTTCGGGAACCAAAAATCGAGAAAAATTAGTGAAAAACCGGTAAAATAATTTCATTTAAAACACGAAAAGAGATAGTTTTTATAAATCGTTCTCGTAATATCACAAAAATTCTTACAATTTACTATTGCACAAAATGTCTCCAATTACATCGTTTAGTGATATACATTAATTTATTATTATAGATTGCATAAAATGTAAGCCCATTTACATTTCATGCCCAAATTTTGTTTATCATCTTTTTTAAAACAAAAAAGCCAAATCCTGAAGAAAATTAGCCAAAACGCGTACACTATAAACTATTGTACATAACTATTGTACACTATAAATTTTACTTATAATTACTAATTTTTTGTTTTTATTCAGCCCTTTTTACGTCCCGCTGCTGAGCACAGGCCCTCTCTGATGAGGGGGTTATCTTTTTAGTTTAGGTATCTGTTATCTGACCACCGTATGTTTAAGATGAATGGGCGATAGATAAATTGGACACGACTATATAGAGATATACCTATATATAAAAAAAGTGTGTGTGTACTTATGTACGCACGTAAGAAGTTATATTATACTTCTTTGGCGTAACAGAACAAAAATAGCTAAAAATTTCATCCCGTATGTCACAACTCTCTGTCTGTAAAAGGAGTGCAGCTAACTTCATCATGTCACTCTTTGGCTGTCGGTGTGCGCGCGCATCGAAAAATTTTACTCTCATATTTTTTCTTAAACGTGCCAAAAGATGTATAACTTTAATAATGTATATATATTGAATCTTATAAATAATATTTTTACCTTGTTTAATCTAACGGCATGAGAAGCTATTTTTCTAGAACCAGTTTCCAAACCTTTATACGCCAGCGGCTGGAAACCGAATCTTGTTATGTAATAACTTGCTGCCTGAAAATAAATTATAAAAATATTTTAATTAACACATTTTATTAGAGCTTAGCTTTTTTATTAACAAAAGATGCTCTAAGTTTGTTTCTTTGTAAAAACATTTCATTTAAATTACAAATTAACTTAGTTCCTCGTCAATAATTACTTTAAAAATATCTATAGATTTAGATTACCCGACAGTTCTTGGTGTATAATTTTCTTACATAACCAAAATTCATAAGCTACGACAAGATGGTCACTGGCACACTAGTGTGTTTTGGAGTAAGTAAGTACATATTATTTACATAATTTTTTTTTTATAAATATTTTGAGACATTAATACACAGCACCATCTATTTCTAGGGTAAGCTACGAGGCTTTTGTTACGGATACCAGATAGTTGATGATACTCTACACATTTATAAACTTTAAATGCATATATATTATAAATATAAACATCCATAACTGGAGTATAAACATTCGTACTCATCAAACGAATGAATGCTCCCATCGGGACTCGAACCCGCGACCGCTGGCAAAGTAAGTAGGGTCACTACAAACTGAGTTAAACGTGTCGTCTAAATACATTTAATGAAGCTTACCTGTTTCGCATTTGAAACCCAAAATGTTAAATGATCGAATGCCAGAAACCGCCCATCTTCAGGTTTCCGTCCTTTTTCTGTGTATGATGTCTGAAAATTATATTTGCATTATTATAGATTCATTTTATTTATATAGATAATATAAAAGATACTTAAATAATTCTCTCAACTTATAAAATATGAAAATGAGTTTGTTTTTTAAGTTACTTTTGATACATGTTGATGCCTCGTTATGATAACATGATAAAACAATCAAAAACTATCTAAAAACTAAGGTGTATATATATATATATATACATATACATATATATATATATTATATACATATATATATTATATTTAAAATAAACGTATATGGAAATAATGGTATATATTCATTACATGTATATGTATAATAAAATAATAACGGAGTGTACAGTACCTAAATATATTTTCTGTTCGTCTGTATATGTACGTATGTGTGTGCATTTCACGCAAAAAGTACAGAACGGATTTTAACTAAATTTTGTGTAGTGATTACTCTTAACTACACCTACTCGGGTCAACATTTAAGATATTTTTACTACAGGAAAATGTCTTGTTCCTACGGGAAAACAATAACTGGTTCTGTCGAGTAGTCTTTTATACAAAAATTTCGATGATTATAACACAAAAACTTATAGTCCAATCATTTTGTAATTTTGCCGGGAGTTTTAAAAATTATTGATTTTATAGATTTCGACGGGCTTTTTCCGAATTTCTACTTTGCCACATCGTATCTTTTTCCAATATACTCGTAGCTTCGCGAGCGGCAAAAATAATATGAGTTGGTAAAATAAAAATTCGGAAAGGGCATGTCAAAACTATAAAATACCAGATATGAAAACTCTCGGAAAACTTTCCAGGTAATCTCCTTTTTGGGCACCAAATGATTGGGCTAGTAGTAGAAGGGTTAAAAATTAACATATTTAACAATTTAATTCGGTAAAACACTTGATACGGCTTTCACTAATAGAAAGATCGATAAATGGCGGGCTATCTATGTATAATAATATGTTAATTAATAAAAAAATATAACTTCGATATTTAAAAGAGCAACTGTTGAGTTTCTCGTCCGCTCTTCTCAGCAGATTGCTTTCCGAGCCGGTGGTAGCTTCCTCACGGACTGACTACACTGACGCTCTTTAAATTATATTGATGATTCAAAAATGCTTATAATAAGTCTATTTGAATAAAGTTTAATTTAATTTCATTTCAACAAAACTTTTCATACACCTGTCTACGTAAGCAAATTTTTTTATCAAAGAAACAATTAATATTTAATTTAAATTGTTTTTCATAATAAATAAGGTTATTAATAAATTGAAAATGAGTTATTAAATATTATCACTTACCATATTTATTTATTATTATTTCAAACGTATTATTTTTACTTAACAATGAAAAAGTTTACGCTCACGTCTGTCCGAAACACGAACTCGATGTCAAATAATTCAAGAAAAACGCAGATTTACGTAGAAAACGAGTATATATAGTAATAACAATCTAATATGAATTTTATTAAAAACAAGTCAAAGTAAAGTCATGTTCACATGTAAAAGGATCTACGTCTTAGCTTTTCCGAACGATAATTATGTTATTGCGATATTGTTTTTTAAACTAGAAAACTTATGCTTTATTATTATAAATAACAATAAAATAAATAAAAAATATACCTGTATTTAATTATACGTAAATATATAAATGAAAAGTGTTAATTATTGACGATTATATTTGATGACACGTTTGGCTCAGTTTGTAGTGATCCTACTTGCTGTGCCAGGGAACGCGTGTTCGTCTCCCGCTGGGGGCATTGTGTAATCAGCACGAATGTTTATACTCCAGTTATTGGTGTTTGTATTTATAATATTATGTATGTATTTAAAGTTATATATAGTGTATCAACTATCCGGTATCCATAACACAAGCCTCGTAGCTTACCATGGAACTAGATGGTGCTGTGTGTTAATGTCCCAACATATTTATTTATTAATATTAAATTTTAATATTTCATTAATTTTACTCATTAGTATTTTCAATTTCAATTTTCAATTTTTCATTTCAAACTTATGTAGGTATATATTATTTTTAAGAACCAAAAGTTTTTATAGTTCCGAAGATGCTAGCTTCTAGTCTCGTGCGTATACTTGAATATAGAATTCTTAATAAGAAAATTGGATTTTTCTGTCATCAAATTCTTAGTAGCAGCTTGAAGTAGGGAAGTTAACGATGTTACCCTGGTGCCTCGAAAAATTCTTAAAACTGACTGACACTTAAAACTGAGTAGACATTCTATCGGACTTTGAAAGTGAAAGGAATAAAGTGCACTTGTGTTTGAACAAACACTTGTCCTGTACTATATTATGAAATTGGCCGCTGTGGCTGAAATCCCTTTTTCTTAGACTCCTTTGTGTTTTCTTTCCATCGTGTCGTTTATATTGTATATTGTCAATAATTAACCTGTGTAGCTATCCTACCTATCGCATTTCTACTATTAGGACATAAAAACTTTTAGGTAGGTTATCGAAAGCTACCTATGTAAGTTTATGTTCTTTTATTTCACATAATAATTAGTTATCATTGTAAATAGTTTTAATATTGATCCAAACGAGTTGCATATATTAATATAATAAACGCAATTATGTCTAATAAATAGTGGGTACTCCCCGATTCTTGAGGATAGTTAATACTAAAACCGTCTAACGCATTACGAGTTGTAACTTTATAGTGTAAAGAATTATTTTATAGTGTCAGTGTGAAATAAGCCTTAATTGCTGATAGGTAGTATATGAAACAAGCCTCTAACCGGTCGAGGGCGAGCCTCTTTTGAATACTGCTACACTTATAAATTTTTGTAAACAAAATTTTTATTATAAACAAGTTTTCAAATACATAGGTATGTGTATAATAATTATCACCTTATTGTAAACTAGCGGATCCGGCAGACGTTGTCCTGCCCGTATACTTGGCTTTAATAAAAATAAAAGAAAAATCTAGAACCCGACTGCAGCGCTACTTACCGTTTCCAATTATAAATTTCAACAATCCAGGAAACTCTCACACAAAATACAATAAAATCATCAAAATCGGTCCAGCCGTTTAGGAGGAGTTCAGTAACTTACACACGTACAAAAGAATTATACTATATTTAAAGATATATATGTGTCAGTCTACAGTCTACATAATAAATATTTAGAATCAATAAACAACAAACAAGTTTGTTTTGTCCACATTTTATTCGATCTCCGTCACTGTGCTTATAATTATAAACATTATGCAAATGGCGGCTGGGCGAGGTAAACACGAGGACGGCGTCGGAGGAGCACAGAGGCGGGGTGGCGTGGTTTCGAAGCCGAGAAAGTATTGTAGAGCTATCGATACGATATCGACTGTAGTAACGTAAAGTCGCGTTATAGTGATAGATAAATCACTCATCAGTCATAAAAAAACTACACGATAATTTTAAAATAAACATTAGACATAATGTTTTTTTTTAAATATGTATATTATATGGATTCTTAACGTGGGCAATTTTGTGTTTAGAAAAATTGTGGAATTGTAAACATGAATATTTTGTGTTTTTTAATTGTTTATGTTTTTAAATGTAAACACAAATGAAGATGTTGTATAATTATATAATTAGTTCAATTCATCTTGCATCCAAAGACATTTTTTGTAAAATTTTATATTTCTAAGATTCGTAATCAGTACTAGTTCGTATGCGAACGTTAACATGTTAAGTTCATGCATGTGATGAGTGTGTGTGTCTGTTTGCTTATCATTTCTTAAAGCTTTAACGAAAATTCTCGCTATATATCTCGCTATAATACAAACCGTAATAAAAACTTTATCATATTAGTAATATATACTAATACTAATATAATACAAAAAATCCGCATCCTAGTATATAACAAGACGTCTCTACCCCACGTTATATGTTTTCAGTGGAAAATAACTTGATTTCTCTCGATATTATTATTATTCCTATAGCTACGAAATATTGCACAATATTTTGTAATATGCCATTTAAAATGTTATTTCTTTACATTTTCACTTTCCATTCTTTTACCAAGGACTTGGGAATGTAAAATTTTAGAACATTATGTGGTCATGAATAGAGTAGGAATGGAATAAAACTTAAGCAAGAGCTACTCAAATAATTAAACACATAAAAAATGGTCAAGTGCGACTTTTGTGGACTATGGTTTCCTATTCATTTTATTTTCTCTGGTTCGATTTTTTTTCTACATTTTTGCTATTTGTTTTCATTTTATATTTTCTAATAACTTTTGAGTATAGTAGTATAGAGGTAGAGTGAGTAGTTTATAGCTTGTTTGTTTGTTGAAATGATATTATGGTTCCCATTAGATATCCAAAAATTATCTCTCTGTAAAATATATAATGTTTTTCGCTGCTAGAAAGAAGATCTTACAGGTTTGTACTGAATTAAAACTTTCGCGTGTACAAAAAAATACACTTCGATAACATTCGATTACAAAAAATATGTTTTAGCCTTCATAACTGCCACCTTTATTTTTGCATGCCGCTGCTGATGCACTATATTCGCTTTTCGCTCATTTGTGATTATTTTCTTTATTTTTTAATTGGATCCCTAAAAATAGTCCCCAAAAAGAGGATATTTAAGCTGTAGGTTTAATTATATATTTATTTAATTTTTTTAAATATCATACGCGCTTGGGTTGACGTCACAGTATCATACATAGAATAATTACGAATTTAGTTTCTAGCGACAAAATCGCTAATCGCTCTGTAATTATAATACTTTGACGTCATATTCGGTCTGACCAATGGCGTGCGTTTCATCTACTTTGAATTCTCCACCTATATTTGCACTCTTTAATAATTATTTTCTTAATGAAAAAGACATTACATTAAAAAATATTGATATATCAATATTTTTGTTTTTCAATTAAGCCTATAGGCTTAATTTAAACAAAAAAACAGATTGTAAAAAATATTTGACATTGATTTAAATCAAACTCATATTCTCTATTAAGTCGTTCTGGTAGTCGATGAATACTGATGATACTGATACTTCGACTATAATTTTCACTGACAACTTTTTTTTTTTTTTTTTTTTTTTTTTTTATTGTCGGGAAATGCATTTACGCATACCACCTGATCCCCCAGGTGGTGATGTGGGGCTCACCGGCTAGAAGAGCCGGTACTACCCACTAAAACCCGACATCCCTTCCCCCCGCCTTAGTGGGACGCCGCAGGATCGCTTGCGCATAACTACTACGGCGCCCCGGCGGCAGGTCTGCCTAAATACTAGGCAGACTACCAAACCAATGGGGCTGCTCCACAGTCAACTCTGCTACGTCAGAGAGGTACCCGGAGCAGCCCCATAAAACCAAAACACCGCCCACCGAAGTGGGCCACCTCCAATCGGCTGCAGAGGACAGGGAGAGCGGCAACGAAACACCGACACTCCTCTTCCCCTGCAGCCCCACCGCGTCCGCCATCAAACGGTGGCGGCCCCGTCTAGGCCGCGGAAGGTAGGGAGAACGGCGCACCGAAATACCGGCACTCCTCTCCCGCCGCGGCCTATCCCTCCGCCGAATGCGGGCCTGCGAACACAGTCCCGCAACCGGCACCCATCATCCGGTTGTGGGACCAAGCGGTCCCACCTCCGGTGGCCGCAACGTCTTCGGCTCGAGGCCTAGACGAGCGGCCCCATCCAAGCCATTTGGTCCGCGCCGGCTTTCTCCGGTACCACCCGCCCCTCTAAGCGGGTGGCATGCCCCTATCCGCCACCTGGGGACGCGCCCGGTAGGAGTTGGCTTCTCCCCCGGGGCTGACAACTTTACCACGGGGACTCTACATTGGGTGGAATTTTCTCATGAAAATGTGATCACCTTTGAACCTTTAAATTAAATATCTCGTGTCACGGTGTTTGTGGTCGCAATCCTCCGACATGGCTCGACCGATTTTAATTATTTTTTTTGTATATTTGGTAGGTATGAGAATAGGTCGTAAAGTATTTTTTAACCTCCTACCCCCACCCCCCTTTTTCTAAGTAACTAGGCGTGAACCTGAGCGGATCGAGGGTGAGTCGCTAGTGTTAGTATAAGTATAAGTTTTAAGCTGTAAATAAAATAAAGAAGTAAGACTTTTAAACACCATTTTATTTAATTAGACAATTATGGTCTTAATAAAGAATTTATATTTTACACTAACTATAATGCTAAGAATTATTATTAATTATACAGATTAATAACGTACATATTACACAGTTTTTATTAATTTGAATTTGTTAGTAAGATATTATTTTTAACTCTTTAAATTAAAATTATGAAAGATAAGGATTATATGGGTATAAAATTAAAAATATTTAAGTATATACCAATTCGTTATTTTAAACAGTAAAACAAACCGCATTCTTATCTAATTAAAACTTAAATTTAATAAAAAATGGTGACTATATATATTTTCTTATTCTTAATTTTCTGCATCAGATTTATCTAAGAGTTCAATCGCCTCGAAAACCCACTTATAGTTCATTGCACCGAATCCCTGAAAACGTAAATACAGTATAAATTCTAGTTAATGACTAAGATTCTAACTAATTTTTATCTTTAAAATTTTTCTTCTATGGTTAAATCTAAGTAGCTCCACGAGCACCGAAAAACGAGCACAACACTAATATCAACTACATAGAAAGCTTAAATAGGATAATAATAATCAATAAACGATATGACATAAAGAATACTACATAAAAAAATATTAAAATAAAAAAAAAACAGCTGCATAAAAAGCGAACTAAAAAGAAGGGAACAAGTTAACGAAGGAAAATTGCTGCAAGCAAAGCTGCAGCTTTGTGTATGTTATTTTTATATATATTTTTTTTTGTGTACAGTGTTTTAGTTTTCGCCAGTTATTTCCGCCATTTGAAGTTTTATTAAGTAATTGTTATGTCAAACTATTATTAAACAAATAATTTGTATATTTTTAATAATGGCCTCTTTAAAACATTCATTTTCATTCCCCTTTTGAAAGGTTTGGAAGAAAAATAATTTTTCACGACACAAATTGGCATCTGAAATCTGCCATTTTGATTATTAATAATACTATGTACGTGTAATATACGTATGAATCATCAAAATCGGTTAGAATGTTTAGTAATTACGAGAGAACATAGGATCGGACACACATACATACAATACTTAAACATATGTCACGTGATCAGGAAAGGAGGAAGGAAATATCATTGCCATATATATTTTAGTCAATTTACCTAAATGGTGTATTATGAAGGTAAATTACATACCCTATGATTCCTTCTCTGTATAATTTCAATGAACAAAGTTGGACGAACTTGTAAATGCTTCGTAAAAGCTTGCAACATATAACCCTTCTCGTCGAAGTCTATCAAAATATTCTGCTCCTTCAATTCTTCGATGCTTTCAACTACATCTATTGAACTGTTTTTGAGCTTTTCCTTAATGATATCGTAGTATGTTGGTGGCCATGATAATATATCAGCACCTCGTGTCTTTAAGCTCTTCATCTATGGATCATAAGTTAAAATAATCTGTATACAAACATGATTCTAAAAGTTAATTAATAATAAAAATGTCATGAGGATATATTAAACGTGCTGGTAAATTATTAAGGACGAAGTAAATGTAAAACAATTTTGATTATTAAAAATCATCATTTTTTGTTTCTATCTTAATTTCTGATTGGTCCAGTATTTAATAGTTTGCTCCAATGATTCATACAGGTCCCTGTATCATAGAAAAAAATATGTATGTACAAAGGAGGATTCAATAAAAATATGGCCGATATCACTTTATTTAATAATATACCTGTAAATTAAAATAATGGATGTGGACTGAGGAGTCTTTTATTTAATTTAATTTAAAACCGCAATAATTCATTTACATATATATATATATATATATATATATATATATATATATATAATTTTAAATATATAGCTGTATAATAGGTACATATCTACTATCTAGGGAATTAAAAATGAAATATAGATTATTTTCTTATACATTATCCATTTACTTACAGTAGACACAATGTCGTCTGTGTACAGGGCTACATGTTCGACTCCGGACGCGCCATGAGCTTTTACAAATTCAGAAGCTTTGCTTGTAGGACGAAGACCTTTCGCTGCTTCATTCAAAGAAAGCTAGAACAGTAAGTAAATTTTAGTTAAACTCGGACGTCGATAGCGGAACTCTTCAATGGCTATCAAATATAAATCTAATGTAAAGTCTTCGAAGTTGGGCTCCTTTGACTCGTTTTGAGGATTTCCATATTTTACAGTTGATGAATAGTGTGCTTTTTATGGTTCCGTACGCGAAGGGTGCCAACGGAAACTTATTACTAAGCCTCCGCTGTCCGTCCGTTGGTCTATCAGAGGACTTTGTCTCATAAACCGTAATAGGTAGAGAGTTAAAATTTTCACCTTCCATTTCATTTTTCAAAAAAGCCAACATGGCAAATTTCAAAATTCCATGCCAATTAAAAAAAACGATTATGATACGGAACCCTTCGTGTTCGAGTCCGATTCGCACCGATTTTTTAGTTTTTTTAAAACTATATATATATATATATATATATATATATATATATAGTTTTAATATATAATTATTATATAGATAGTTTTTTATATATAATTATTATTAATCCGGTACATTAAGTGTAATGTACCCCATATTGAAATAAGTTATAATAATATATAATAATATAATAAAACGCATGTGTTTTGTAAGAAATACTTACAAGGACACTATCATTATGATTGATCACCGAAGCCGAATTTATACAAGAATAAAGCGTTATGTCGTGGCTGTAGTCAACACACCAAAATCTGAAAATTCAATTATGTACAGAACCTCTACTATTCCTTTCTAATATGTATTGTGAAACAAAAGAAATCAGAATTTTTCTTTAATGGATATTTCAGATTCAGAACGATGTTTTTTTAGATCTCTAATATATAAATTCAAATTTTAATTATTTTTATACTCTTTGCTCTTTCCTATTAGTTGCTGCTACTTGGGACTTTTATTACTGCTATAACATCGATCAAAAAAGTACTAGATGCACAATCAGCGAGAAAAAATGTCCTCACCGAATGAGCGCTCATTTGAACATTTGTGCGTGCTTTTAATAGAAAAAAAATGCATTGTTTTTAAGGTTCAATTTACATTGTTATATATTTATTTCAACTAGAATAATTACCTAAACACAATTGGTGACAGTTTTAAGAGAAGTTTTCCATGGGATTGTGTATCTATATAAAGTTTCACTAACAGTATAATAAACCCATTACCTTAGCATATTGAGGTTTTTCTCATACCAAGTCACAGAATCTTCCAGAGTCCCGTCCGCCATATTCCCTTCCACGTGGTCAACAAAAGATAATTTTGTATCCGGCCTAAAATATAACAGTTGTTAAAGTTTTTATTATATTTTACTGATTGCAAAAAGAACACACGATATATTCTCTAACAGATTTTCGCGATTCCTTTTTTGAATGAGTCGATTCTATCTGAAAGGTTCAAATAAAACTAATAAATGCTAGCCAAAGCAAAATGTTTACTTTTAAAGTGATTTTGAAGTCATCGTAAAAAAGAATTTGAGTGAATTTTAATTTGAGTATCAATATGATGGTAGCTATTCCATGTACGGACTATGGCAACAGTAAAAGTTAAAGTTTTTGTCGCTATATGAATACGTAAAAGAGTGATATATCAAAAAATACAATTCGGATTGCACATTATAATTAAAAAAAAATCTTTCATACTATATACTTTTGCCCTGGTTGAATTGTCATATTTTTTTTTTAGTTAAGAAAGATAATACATTTTTTTTTAAATTAATATCTGACTTACAAGAGTTTATTAACGGGATCTTCATCCAAGACTTCATATCCAGGGAAAAGAATTCCTGTGTACTTAGATCGATCGATTAAAGTATGAGTATTGTCACCATACTGAAAAAAAAAACTTTTTTAAACGTGAAGTGTACTAGAAAAAATTGTTCTTTAAATATATGAAAACTCATCAACATTTTTAAAATGAAGAACTCCTACATTAAAAACTCATCATGTAACTTATTGTTCGATACTAAATATCAAATAATAATTGAAAAATTATGTTTGTTTATTTTTATTTGCTCATATAAAATAGTTTTGATAAATATAGTCAACTGTACTTCTAAATAGCTATTCGAATCTTTTTTATTTCAGTTCTCAGTTCCATGCATGGAATGCTGTATGCAATTTTAGTATATACTTTATTGGCTTGCAGTATACTCGTAGGTACAGAATAAATTTCAGCCAAATATGATATAGCCCCAATATGATAAGCCCAAAAAAGCTCAAAAATTGCCATCACATAAGGACAGACGGGCAAACAGACTCACATAACGAAATTATAAGAGTTACGTCTTTATCTTTTGGATTTGTTAAAAAATTTTCTAAGCTGTCTAATAATTGAAAGAGCGACCTCTAACCTTGTGGGCACTGGTCAGTGCTTATGAGACACCACACCACACCAGGACCGTAGTTAATTCGAACTTACTGTTTTTAATACTGCATACCGAATGGTCCCATGTTTATCGGTCTCTTCTGTAACACCTTTTAGTATTTCTGCGCCTTCCCTTCTAGCCTTTTGTACAATTGAATCTAAATTGTGCACTTCAAATGCTATATCCTTTACAAAATCTCCATGAGATTTTAAGTCTTTTGATAATATATCTTCATCAGATGTTGGTGATTGAAATATTATTGTTATCTGAAATTGAGTAAATTCGTTAGAAATTCTGCATTTTTTGTTTATTGTTTCTAGGTGTGCCAAATGTTTATTTCAGCTTAAATAAACAATAAATAACTTTTTTCAAAACAATTTATTTTACTATTTATTTATCTTTATTTTAATATTATGAACCATTTCAGGTTTTAGCATTTTAATATCTACAATGAAGAGATTAGGTAATACTTTGCCATAATATTCTATCAGGCGCAATATTTGAATGTTTGAAAAGATGTCGAATCTTGTCTGAAATAATTACTTTAACAACAAATAACTCTATTTAAAGATCATTTTTAAAGTTACAGTATTGAAATTCTATTTTTTTTTGTTGTTCGAGCAAAATTAAAAAAGAAAAAATTAATATTTGTGCACAATTGGCCAATTACGTAGATAAATAAAATAAGCGTTGGATACTTTAATCTTTTTTGAACTTGGTCAATTAAGTAAATTCACTTACTTTATTAACTTGCACTGCGTAGGAAACTATTGGTCTTTCTTCAGTTGATTCTCTAACTGCTAGCGGCTTAAATCCAAACCGAGTCACGAAATAACTGGATGCCTAGAGTGATAGTAAATATATAAATATATATATATATATATAAAGGTATATATATATAAAGGTATATATATATAAAGGTATATATATATAAAGGTATATATATATATAGGTTTCACGAAAAAGTTTTTACAACATTTTGTAATTGAATAATTACGGGGATTAAAATGATAGTAGGTACTGTATTTAGAAATATCTCTGATACGAAAAGAAATATTTGTAATGAGCAGGCCTAGAAAACTTCAATTATGAAATGCCATCCAAATTATAAGTATTTAGTCTCTAAGCATAATATTTACCGTTTTAGCATTAGCCACCCAAAAAGTGAGATGATCGAAATTTAGAACTTTGCCATCGTCACTGGTACTAATTACGGCTTCTTTAGTCATTTTTTCTGAAAAAAAAAACTGTTTGTCTTATAAAATCAATTTGGTAAGTACTTTGATAAAGTACAAGTATATTTTTTTTATTAAAATTAAGTAAAATTAGCTTAATTAAAAAAGCACAGGTTTCGAAATCGCAGTTCGAAAGCAAATGTGATATTTATAGAAAAATTACCAATTTTAAGGCGTTTCTAAGTTATAATTAGTTATTCCAAGTTCCAGTTTAGTGCTTATAAGAGCTTGTTGCTACAGTTGAGTACTTTGAATACAAATTATTGGCGCTATCACATAATACTATATCAACTACTTTGTTATTGTACAATATTTAATAATGTATATTATTTTTATTTTAAGAATTAATTTTTCTATTACGCCAGAGATCGCAACATTAATACTCATTTAGCATTATGTTATCTATCTATGCTAATATTATAAAGAGGTAAAGTTTGTGAGTTTTTGAGATTGTGAGTTTGTGACGTTGTAGGGGGTAATCTCTGGATATACTGAACCGATTTAGATAAAATTTGGTAAGAAGATAGTTTGAGACCCTGGGAAGGGCATAGCACAGACATACTTTTTATCCCGGAAATCATCCCTTTAGGGCTTTTTCACAATTTTTCAAATGAACGGTTCCCGTGGAATAGTATGTTTTACCTCGACATATGTAAGTATACAAGTTGAAATTCATGTAATGCTGCTTTGTGATAGTAAATTATTTGATTACGAGTTTCTCACTTTATAGTACTTACGTATATTTTGAGGACACGATAAACATAAACGTCTGTCAGTATTTTTTTCTAATTTCAACCCCTAAATAATTAGAAAAACAGCAAATGAATTACAAAATTAATTTACTATACCGATTTATTTTCTCTTATGGCAATTTTTTTATACAAACCTAAATATCCACATTAACTCCGAGCCGAATTTTTTATAGAATATTCAAATCTAGTAGTTATAATGTTCAATCGTTATACGAAAATAAGTTCTGTGATAGCGCCAAAAGGATAACAAGGACGACAAGGAACATTTATTACGTTTCCTAAGGTATTTTTATGATTTAACTAGCAGAACCCGCGGCTTCGTTCGCTCTAAAACTACAAAATTTCTATAAATGTAGTTTCATACAAACTTTTATCCTCTATTTTACCCTCTTATAAGATGAATTTCGAAAAATGCTAAAACACGTATTTATTTCATTTTATAGAAGAGCATTAATACCAAGTTTCACGTAATTCTGATCGCAAATATTTTTTGAATGGTATTATAAAGTGTTTTTTCGTGGGAACTAGATAATCTCCCGCAGTAAAAAGTAGCCTATGTCACTCTGCAGCCTTCTAACTATCTCCACACAAAAATCACGCCAATCCATCACTCCATTTTAACGTGAATAAAGGACAAACAAACAAACAAACAAACAAACAAACAAACAAATAAAACAAATAAAAAATATTAGTATGGATATGGATTAATAGTCTTGGTTGGTTGCAATGAGATGTTTTAACATAGAATATTCAACAAAATTATACGAACAGAATATGTTTTAAGGACACCTAATATTTTAATTTATCTATGTAGGTTATTTTATTGTTATTAATTTTCTAGATTGTTTTTTTTTGGATATTTATATTGAACATTTAAAAATTATTTCTCGGTGCATTTAAATTAATTATTATACTATAATCAGCAAACTAGTTGCTTGTACATAATATGAAAATCGTTAATTAGCAAAAAAAAATAATCGGGATAAAAACTATCCTATCCTTTAAGTTGGAACAAATCACACATTTTGATAAAATACGTTAAGATTTCGGAATTCATCCCAGATCAACATCGTGACACGGGAATTTTATATATTACACTATCTCCTATATAAATGAAAATGAATGTTTCTAAGCGCAAAACTCGAGAACGGCTCAACCAATTCAGCAAAAAAAAAATTCGTGTGTTTCTTAAGGTACACTGATAGTTTTAATAAAGAGAAAAAAATAATAAGGTAAATTCAAAGTCGTGTTAGTTACACCATTTATATTTTAAATAAAACTATCTTTTCGAATTATTCCGATTTTTTCCGATTCCGATTATAATCCGAAAAGATTTTATTTGAAATGTCAAATATTCCCGTAAATCTAAGAAAGTGTTACACCATTTATAACTCAATAACAGTGTGACCAATTTTTATGATATTTGATTTTTTTGATTTCTCTTAGCCCGGAATAGGATAATAAGTATTAAAATATCAGAAAAATTAACAAAAAATGATTAACATTTATATGGCTAACACTGGCTAACTATTTATATCTATTTTAAACGTACCTAATCCTGTATACCTACCCTATACCTAAACCTAACGAGGGTAAGCCGCTAGTCCATACTTTAATATTATAAATGTTAAAGTGTGTTTGTTTGTTTATTTGTTTGTTTGTTTGTCCTTCTTTCACGTTGGAACGGAGTGACGGATTGGCGTGATTTTTTGTGTGGAGATAGTTGGAGGGCTGGAGAGTGACATAGGCTATTTTTTATCGCGGTAGATTATCTAATTGCTACAGGGAAACACGTTATAATACAATTCAAAAAAATATTTGTGATCAGAAGTACTTGAAACTTGGTAGTAATGCCCTTCTATAAAATTAATTAAATACGTGTTTTAGTATTTTTTGAAATTCATCCTATAAGGGGGTAAAATATAGGGTGAAAGTTTGTATGAAACTACCTTTCTAGAGATTTTTTTTGTAGTTTAACCGCGAGCAAAGCTGCGGGTTCTGCTAGTAATATGTATATAATTAGAGAAAACGTGACTCATTTAAAGTACAAACTATACACATTTTTTTTATAAATTTTGCTTGTAGGCAAAAGATCGATGGACTATGGAAAAAATATTTTTTTACTTAATATTACCTTAACACACGAGAGAAAAAACACGAAATTAAATGAACACAACTTTGTAACTGTATTTTTTTCTACGACGACTCTATTTAAATAGGGAGTTTATCTTTTCATCACATCTGTCATTAATTAATTATATATGAAATATGAAGTTATGATGACTTTTTAGAATAAATGTATATATTTGTATTTAAAACTAATGTATGCAACTGCTAATAAGATGTGATGCCTAATGGTATGTTTACTATAGCTTCCTATATGTAACTTTGTTCGCGAAAATCTAAATTTTTGAGTGACTTTTGATTCAAAAACAGATAGCAGACTCAAATCAACAAAAATGGACGAGCTATGTATCAATACACTAACCTTAATCCATACTAATATTATAAACGTGGAAATGTGTTTGTTTGTTTGTTTTTTTGTCCTTCTTTCACGACGAAACGGAGTGATGGATTGGCGTATTTTTTTGTGTGGAGATAGTTGGAGGGCTGGAAAAAGACATAGACTACTTTTTACTTCGGGAGATTACTAATTCCCACGGGAAAACACGTTATAACACAACTCAAAAAATATTTATGATCTGAATTACTTGAAACTTGGTACCAATGCTAAAGTCTTTAATAAAACTAAATAAATACGTGTTTTAGCATTTTTCGAAATTCATCCTATAAGGGAGTAAAATAGGGGATGAAAGTTTGTATCAAACTACATTTTTAGAGATTATTAAATCAAGTTGTGGCGTATTAATATCACATATATGTATTTGAATAGATTTCTTTTACATTGTGTGTTATATTTTGGATAAGATACCTATTGTAAAGATACTAATTCGTTATAAAATATGGAAATAATATTTTTGAGCCAGACTATGGCAAAAAGAATCTCTTCTTATAATCTGTCAGAGATTATAAAGTTATGCTCAGGCTATTCCATATCCCTATATATGTATATATATATATATATATATATATATATATATATATATATATATATATATATATATATATATATATATATATATATATATATTTGGTAACTGCAACTACAAACTTTTTTTAGTAGGTACAAATTTTCGTAGCAACAGATATATATACTATACGGGTAATAGCGTATATTTTTATTAGTAGATATAGGTATTCGTTTGTCGTGCAATGAAAGAAGTACCTATAACTTAATTTTATATATAATTAATTACAGTGAATATATTATGTATCGTTATGAAATCCGATTTAATTAATATGTAGACCTTAAGATGAAGAGATAGTAGATAATATCTCATATATCATATTATTAGAATATTAAGTATTTAAATTAACCTTGATATTAATTAATATTTAAGTTAGTCGCATATTATTGATTTCTATAAATTAATTTGAAGTAGTTAATTTTTTTTTAACTAACAAAATAAATAAATATAATAATAATGTCCTTCTGACCAATTCCGGCCACGGACCAATCTCATTGAGACTAGCCAACTGCGCAGGAGATAGTGCACAAGTGTACGCGCAGACACAAGTGCACTCTCTATTCCTGTCACTCTCATACTCCGGTGGGACGACTACTCGACATGACCAGTGAGAGTTAAGGCGCAAGACCGACGGTTTTACGTGTTCTCCGAGGCACGGGGGTGAAACACCGCCAACTTCCCAACTTCGGGCTGTTACTGGAGCTTACTATATAGAAAGACTTAATAACTAAATTTGGCTCGACTTGGGACCTCCGGGTGCAGCCGTACATGCTAGCCACTATAGCACCGAGGCAGTTAGTTACTAATATATATAATATATGTATATCTATATAAAACATATGTGAGAGTTTGTACAATAACTTAACTAATCCCGTATTTGACGAATAACTGATTTGACGAATAGCGAATTTGGCAAATTAAGCTTTCGACTTATAGAGAACTAGCATTGCCCACGGCTCCGCACGCGTTCAGATGACCAAAAACCAAATTCTTAGGTTTTACATATTAGTATACTTTACCTTTGCAGTTTTTGTATTTATTCTCAGAAATGAGATATTTTCCCCGTAGTAGCCTATATATCCGGATAATCAGCTATGACCATACCAAATCATTTAAGTCCGTCCAGTAGTTTTTCTGTGATGCGGTAACAGACTGACAGACAGACAAAAATTCTAAAAACTATAGATTCGGCCTCTGTATCGATAATAATGTTTGTTACAATAAGATTTTTCAAAAAATATTTAATGTACAGATTCGGCTTACTTACAATTTCATTATATGTATAGATGGCCAATTAAGTATTTGACGAATGTCTACGCAACCCCCCATAATAACAAAATGGGGCCCAGCTAGGGAGAGGACAATCTATGGACAAATTATTATTGTACATCCAGGGCGTTGGGTTACATGAAACATAAAAATTATCGCGATAATTATCAAAATTATTATCAGATAACTATCCGATAATTATCAAACAGATATAAACTTCGCAATCCTTACGTAGGTATTGGTATTTGACTACTTGCCTGTCATAATTTACGTTAAAATAAATTATACGCTTTCAACAATGAAGGTATTTTTTTTTATATTTTTGACATATTATACAAACTTAAAAACAAAAACATAATCAATTTAACCAACTACACTATTTAATTTAATTAATGAAAATAATATAATAATATAGTAAATACACATAAATCTATACATATAATAAAATTCTGAGTCGAATCTGTACGTAACATTTTTTTTGGACAATCTTATTTAAATATGTAGTTATTATTATGGATACAGAGGCCGAATTTATAGTCTTTAGAATTTTTATCTCTCTGCCTGTGACCACATCACGAGAAAACCACCGACAGATTTTGATGAAATTTAGTATGATGGTAACTGGCTATCCAGGTCAACGTATAGCCTAGGATACTTTTAACTGCGGGAAAATATTTCATCTCAAGAAATCTATACTAAACTTTAAAACGTAACTATGGACGAACCTGAGCGGAGCGATAGCGCTAATATAATAATAAAAATATATATATGTACATTATATGTTCAATTCATATATATAAACACTATGATAGGTAGTTACTATAATATCTATAAATTTTTGATAAAATAATTTTTAGTACACAACCACACATACATACATATATATATACATTATAAAATTGACGCAAACAAAAGTTAAAAAAACTAAACTAACCTGAAGAAGTTGATGGCTGCGGTTTAACAAATTCAGCTTTGGGTGCAGACGAAGTAGTATCTTGCGTGCCCACTCCAGGCTGACAAATCGTGCTATGTTTTTTCAAGCGAGCTAAAATCCCCTGCATTTCTTTTTGACACTTTTTACATCGAGCCCATAATCCAGTGTTTTTTGTTTTAATGCAGTCAAAGTTTGACCAAATAGGGTCTTTGTTTCTTGGCATTATGTTAAATAGCTTAGTCTCACTAAGAAATGATATGCATATGAAACGTAACGCGAGGAAACACTCGCTAGTGTTAACAATAAGACGAGAAATAGCGCGCGCGTATACACTCAGTCGTTTAATACGACAATTTGAAGAGTAGCAAATTAAATATTTTTGATTACACTAATCAAAGTTAATTATCAACCTATACTTATCAAGATAAATGTCATGATAATTATCAATGATAATTATCGTTTCGAACCCTGATATTATGATTTAAAAATACTCGTAAGGCAAATATGAAATACGTGCTGATTTACAACCAAAGGATAATTTTACTGATAACCTATTAAAAAGTTTAAAGCCATTGGATAGTGATATATTATATGATTACGTGTATTCATAGATGGCGCTGTTGTTTTTACAAGCTTTTATTTAACTTGCCGTTAGTTATTTTGGGTGAAATCTTCGAGATTGCGTAGAAAGAGGAATTTAAACGCGCTACAAGATTTTGAAGTAAATCTAATAGAATATTAGGTACAATTCATTGGCTTATTATCCTAACATAGTGCCTTACACTTTTATACTTATATACGTAAAACTAGATAGTTTTATGCAGTATTTCTATAGATCTATTTTTTATTTTATTACATTTATTAATCTATAAAAATAACATTCATCAACACAACCCTTGCATAAATTATTTTCGTTTTAGTACAACTGAATTTTTGAATAAAAGCTTGGTATTAAAAAAAGTTTTTTTTATTAATATTTTTATTTATAAGTTTATTTACTATAGTTGAAAATTGTTACTACGAGTAACTTCTTTGTATAGACATTTGTATTACTTAACAAAAACTAGGCATTATGAATATTGAATTATATATTTAAGTCTTAAGTTTTTCACTAATAAGAATTAAATAAAACAAGTAAATCTATAAAATAATTTCATTTATTCATTTATATTTTATACATCATACATATTTACATAAACAATTTTTTAATATTACGGAGTATTTACTTGCACCTATAATAAACACTTACAATAACCTATCAAAAGCTAAGGCACCTTCAAGGAAGCTTTAAGTCCACCTCTGAGTGATGGTCGAAAGAAATTAAAGTGCAAAACAAAGCCTAAACAATAAATATGAGAAATAAGTGTTGCAATATACAATATTAAAACTAAATTTATTTACAGATAAAATATTTTTGTGACCTATCCATGATTTATAAAAAAAAACAATTTCTTTATACATATAAGATATGATTGTGAAAAAGTTTTTATATTTATTTAAAATAAAACTTTTATATTAGCTCATGTTTCTTTTTAATTATTTTTCTTACACTTAAAACAGTGATTATAATTGTTGTTTAACATTCGACCACAAGTAAAATCCATTGGAGTTATATAAAAGATAATTAAAAAATCAGATACGAAAGACTAGTTTTATTCTGCCAATGAATTTTACTTTCAGAAATCGACTTCGATAACGGGTAACTTAAAATACTATATTTACAAGTTAACATTTACAAGGTTATAAAAATATTTTTTGTTCATTCATCATTGTGACGATTTTATTGACAGTTCCGTTTATTTTTTCAAGCCTCGTGTCAGTGTTGCTATTGCTTATTGTGTATTTTAAAAATGTAAAAAAACTATAATAATTTTTTTTATCTAACACACAGTACAAATAGAATTTCCATTTAATTTCATCATTCAAATCTGTCTAACGCAAATTGTCAATTTACGTATTTATATCAAGTTTCAGTCATCAAAAAGCATTGCTTTACAAACGTAGTATACAAATGGACTTACCCTGTCAAGTGTAAGTGAAAGGCACAATTTCAATGAATTATTTCTCATTGGTTTTTACGCTAATGTCACGTAGAATGAAGATGTAAAAATTCCACACTTTTTTTTCTTAGTTTACATATTTTCATAAATGACATTTATTTGACATTGACAGTGACAGGACAAGTCCAAAACGATGATTTTGATCAAATCGCATAGATTAAATAGAAAATTGCATGAAATGTATAATCAGTCAATTAAATCCAAATGATTCTTTTTTTTTGAGAAATTGTTACTTAGATTAAAAAATCTATGCCATAATAACTCTAGCTGTATTTATTATGCGATTAAATCCTTTAGTCATTTAAATGCAATTTCTAGTCAAATTTCATATATGGATCATTGTAAATAATATCCATACAAGTATGTATATAATATAAACTCAATCCGTACATTAAAGTCTAGTCTGAAGGAATTGTTATAAATATATTCTTAGACACGACTTCTAGAAATAGTACGAATTCATTGTGTATTGTCACTTTGCTAATAAGTATGACATTTTGTTATGTTTCAGTAATATGTGAAGTGAATATTAAAAAAAAAAAGATTTAACTAAAACACATGAAAGTTTACGCCAGTGCTTACTTAAAAAAAAAAACCAAAATGTCACACGACGTCATAGACTTGGTAACTAACGTTACTCGATTACAAAAGAAGTCATTGAAAAAAAAAATCGATTACAAATAAAGGAACACAAAGCTTATAATATTAACAGTTAAATATACACTGTGGTAATTTGGTATGAGCGCGCTGTACCGTGAAATGACGCTACTGAGATCAATAAATATTAGATTCAACGTGTTTAACTACATACATTTCTTAACCGTCAAAAAATAATCAATTTTGGTAATACACTATAATAACTATATAGAATTTACGTTGGCTATGTTTTTTACTAATAATGAAAAAGGAACTTAAACAAGATGTCATTGTACGATTGTTGAAAAATAGAAATAAAAAAAAATAAGAATGACATATTATGATTCTATGTTACAACGATTTCCTTCGATCAACAATGTAGTGTTATTGATCGAAGACGATTTCAACACAATTTTTTGTATTAATTAAATCTTGTCAAAGCTAAAGTTCTGAATTTCGAGATTTTCTCTTATCTCCTTATCGTTTAAATTGAAGAAAAAATCTTTTAAGTGTTGTACATTATTTGTTTTTTTTTTAAATTACCTTTTAAAATGATTTATTTCTTTAATTACAGTCAATACATAACATTAGTTACGCGATATGTGCTCTCAAGCTCACCAATCCCATCTACTACCTATACATCAAATCGAACCGACGGTACCAGAAACGTACAAAGCTATCCAAACAAACAATGATATGTTCAAAGCCTCAATCAAATCATTGTACAGACGCAGAGATTGCTCGCTTATTGGTCCTCCCTACCGTTGTATATCACAGAGCTGCGGTACGAGATGCGCTCTTTCTACCGCTACTAAACAACCATCGGGTGTCATTAGTAAGGGAGAGTTACCTACCCATACTTTTTTAACGTCTTCTGTGTAGTTTTGTGGCGGGGACATGTAGCCGCCTCTGGAATAAACGGTTTAGATCAGTCGTTTTGTTTATGTTGTAGCTAAAATTCGCAGAGAAAAATATATTAATTTTGTATACATTGATGAAATATAGTTGTCTGTATCTACTACATATAATAAAATTCTGAGTCGAATCTGTACATTAAATATTTTTTTGGAAAATCTTATTGAAATAGTTATTATATAATCGATAAAGAGGACGAATCTATAGTTTTTAGATTTTTTTGTCTGTCTGTTTGGGAACACATCACGAGAAAATCACTGGGCAGATTTTGATGAAATTTGGTATGATAATAGCTGGTTATCCGGGTCAACGTATAGGACACTTTTTACTGTGGGAAAATATCTCATCTGTGAGAAATATATATTAAACGTTAAAGCGTAACTAGGGACGAATCCGAGTGGAGCGAGGGTGAGTCGCTAGTCTAAAATGTAAACTAGTCTCTATTTTGTATTTAATTTTATTGTTTTCAGTTGAAAAAGAAACAAACAGAAGTTCGTGATATTAAAGTGTCACAAGTGATTTAGTTAAACTGTACTATTGTGAACAAAACATGCAGTGACTTTAATTTCACTCGATTGAATAAGTCTTTAGAGCCAGCTACAGTTTTTGTTATGAAACAAATTAGAAATATAACGAGGGACATACTCAAAACTAGCGATTGATTCTTATTAGAACATGGCATGAGCAATGGGCAATGGGTTGACATGGTTATATAAGAAACACTAAAAAAATAATAGTAAGTAATAAAGTAACATTTATTGAGTTATAAACAATTTTTAAGATACGCGAACAGACAGATGAACGAAAAAAATTAACCAATTTTGAATGGAGTAGATATTTTGAAATCCCAAATTTAAACGTAAATTTTATATATAAAGATTTGCATATTTAGATTTCTCACCTTAATTTTCTATCAGCCTGAAGTAAAGCGTCTGCTTTTAATAGCCTCACAGCCACCGCTACCAAAAGAAACAGTATCAAGGCACCGCACACCGGGACCGCTATAGTGGCCGCCTTGAACCAAACTTCACTGTTGTATGACGCGCCACGCTCGCTAGCAACACTTCCTTCTGTAAAACAGAAAATTTCACCTTAAATAAAAGTTACAATCCAAGACAGTGGTGGCCCAGTGATTAAGCTTTTGCTTGAGAAACCGAGTGAAGCGGGTTTAAATCCTGATATTTGATATCTGATATTTTTATGTGCGAATCATTTCCATATAGATTATCACTTGTCTTACTGTCAAATACATCGTGAGGAAACCGGCTGTCTAAAAGAACCTAACAAATTTTCGAAAGATATGTGAAGTCCACCAACCCGCACTTAGCCAGCGTGGTAGACTATGGCTTGATCCAACTCGCATTAAAGGAGACCCTTGCTCAGCATTAGAATGATAAAAGGGCTATATACAATAGTTATTTCATAACATCAGATATCGCATTGAAAGACTTTTGTAAAGAAAAAATGTTTCTCTTAATGTGGGTTAAGATTAATTTTGTCAGTCTCCTGTGTCTTTGCACAATTATTTACATGATATGTCATCATAATATTTACGTGTAATGGATATCAGAGAGCTGGCACACTACACATATATAACTTTAAATTCAAACATATTATAAATATGAACACCCATGACTAACAGCAGGACTCGACCCCGCGACTGCTGACACAGCAAGTACCGTCACTACAAACTAAGCCAAACGTGTCTTCAGTAAATCTTAAAGTAATACATAGCAAAAAAAAAATAATTAATGAACAATTAAAGTTATTTGGAAGATAGATTAAGCAGAATTACAACAATATAACGGCTACTGTGCACTTCTTAGAAAATGCATCAAACCATCTTATCGTGTGGGTCGGTAGCAGGAAACAATGCGGACTATATAGGATCGAATGTGTAATGCGTATAATATGACAATTAAATATATGACACTGAGTATTTAAGCTAGGGTTGTGTAGTTCGGGGTTTACTGCAACGCCCCATTGAGACTGGGTAGGTACCGTTGGTTTTCAGTTGGTAGTACTGGCTTTTCTAGCCAATGAGTTTCTTGTCTCTACATAACTTTCTAATGTTAACGTAAGGTATTATTGTGTATTTCGTTTTGGCGTCGAGAGACGATAGTGTAGTCTAATTCAGGGGTAGCATGACATAACGGATTATTTTGTCAATATTTAATTTCATTATATGGTTATTGTATTTTTAACCGACTTCCAAAAAGGAGCAGGTTATCAATTCGTCGGAATCTTTTTTTTTCTTTTTTTATTATGTTCACCGATTACTCGAAGACGCCTGAATCGATTTGAATAATTTTTTGGCAACCCTAAACGACCTAGTATTTTTACATTTGCACAGCAAGTGTTAAATTAACATTTTATTACATTGTCTGGGTTTTTTACAACAGTTCCATATCTTGTACTGATTTCACTATAGGAATCTTGACGTTTATATAAATCTTTTTATTCAACTTGACGTTATTATTCAACTTTCAATTTTTGTTAGTTGGTGTTTGTATGGGTCCAATCTTTAAAGCTGAATTAGTACCACTTCGTGTTATCCTACAGAGTTCAAATTTCATATGTTGATTCAGTTCTGATGATTGTGAGTTTTGTTGATAATTATAACCTGATTCTCAATTGGCTGGCTTCAACAAGTCCTCAACGACTAACAGAACAGACACGAAATTATATACGCATTTAATTATCACAGCTCCTTCTAAAGTCTACCATGAGATGTCTGTCGAGTGTCGAATGAGTCTGCCGAGTTCAGGGTTGGCTCCAAATGAGACATATCCTCAGCGGCCAATAGCAATAAATTTTGTACATTACACACGTAATCTATACATACACATTAAATATTTTTTGGAAAATATTATTGAAATATCGTCGAATCTATAGTTTTTAGAATTTTTGTCTGTCTGTGTGTGCCCACATCACGGACAAACCATTGGAGGGATTTTGATGAAATTCGATATGATGATCACTGGTTATCCGGGTCAACATATAGGATACTTTTTACTGCGGGAAAATATCTCATCTCTAAGAAATCTATACTAAACCTTAAAATATAAGGGTCGAACCTAAGCGGAGCGAGGGTGAGTCGCTAGTTATACCTATAAAAGCTTGTTTTAAAAAAAATATTTCAAAATTAATCTATGTTATTATGAGACCGGCTATATAGTTATAATTTATATTATTTAAAGTAATATTCGACGTAATCTTCTGTTTTAATTACCAAAGTATTATATGGTGTTTTCATATACGTGGGTTGTAAATAACGTAGGTTTAGAACTAGTTTACGAGCCTTGTCAATTGTAGTAGTACAGTTAATTAAGTTTGATTAAATCATAAACGCTTTATAGCTGATAATTTGTACTTAGAGTCAAATATTATGTTTACTTGGCTATAAACCTGGGAATGAAGAGACGAGCATCTCGTCTCATAATGATGATGCGGAGTTAAAAATAAATATATTAATCTATACATATGTAATAAAATTCTGAGTCGAATCTGTAAATTAAATATTTTTTGGAAATTTTTATTGAAATAGTTATTATTATCGATACAGAGGCCGAATCTATTGTTTTTTAGAATTTTTATCTGTCTGTGACCGCTTCACGACAAAACCACTGGACAGATTTTGATGAAATTTATGAACATGTACTTTTTCTTAAAATTTATATGAACATACAAACACACAGAAAACATCAAACCTATATCATTACCTCCTTTTTTTAAATCGGTCGAAATAGTTATATACCTACTTATGAAACAAACAATAACTTGCATTGCAATACAATTTAATTATCCATCGCAAATAAGTATTGCACAACAATTTAGTAGGGTACCTACAAACTACCACATAAGTTCGATCTAATATTTTGTTATCCCGAAGAAGTACAATTGACTCACTGTTTACAATTTGCATTAGATAAGAGACCGCTAGAATATCTTTGTTCGCAGAAACTCGGTTTTATTGAAATCGTTAAATAGCCAGTCTATTTTATTACAGTTCAGAGAAACGGTTCACTTGATTGATTGTTAAAGCGATTATCTTACTCCACTGAGAGTATAAAAGCCGTATGTTGATTTTGTAAAGATTTCCCCGTGTTTTATGCTATAATATATTGGATGTAGTTATGCAAAATGGATCCAGCCCACGAAAGCCGTTTTTTGAGATAGTACCATCTTAAAAGGCTTAAAACTTACATATCAACTTTGCAAAAAATATCCAAGTCGCAAAGTGCTTTTTTTTCTTTTGAAACGTACAGACGGTCTTGTTATTTTGATATACCAATTTTACTAAAACTTCTATTTTCTCAAAAGTAAGTTTTTGTGGTTGGATCTATTTTGCATAACTACGTCCTATTGATATTCGCAGTAAAATACGTTTTTAATCATAAATTATCTGTCTAAAACAATTTATTTGGTATATAGCACTTTTAGTTATTTGTTTTCTTAAATTGATTACGCAACAGCCAAAGATATAAAGTAAAATTAAGATCTAAATAATGGTACAACAGGCTAACGATATAAGTCCTTACTCCAGTTTCTGCATCTTTTGTTGAAAAGACCTACGCTATTACTTAAATAGGTACTAGTGATTGCCGGCGACTCATTGCATAGTAAATATTATTATTATTATTAATTTATGTATATACCTATAACCTGTCTATCTTATGGACGTATAGATAGATGGATGTTTATGAGTTAAATTATTACTCTTTCACGCAAAAACTATTAAACAAATTTTGATAAATCTTTACAATTATACAATTTATACATAGGAGTAAAACATAGGTCATACTTAATAAAGATATAGTAATAAAATACACGAATGAAATATCCGTGAGAAGCCGCAGAAAAACGCTAGTAAAGCTCTAAAATACAATACGATTTTTCCAAGAATTCTCTAGAGACAAGCGTATAAACAAACAAAAAACAAAACTCTTCACCTCCATACATAATATATATGTAGTATATATGTATATAGGTAGATATGAAGCTTTATATCCGTTGTTTCCTTAGTAAACCCTTCACGTGTCTGAATATATAAGGATATACGTTTGACTGGCGGGCGGACAGACGACAGAGACATCAATGTCTAGATTAAGTCACAGACTAGATATGTGATATTTGTATATTATACGAATTAATCTAGATCTAGATAGATAATTTAGAATATCAAATAAAACTTCGTCGTCCTGTTATTTATATTTCGATTTTGGAGAAGATATTATTGGACAATTGATTTTATTGGCGAAATAAACTGTGCCCAAATGACACGCCTATAAGTTAAGAACAAAGAATTGAATTCAATTGTAGAAAAAATGGTATATTTGTCGTAGGTACTTGTTTCAATACAAAATCTAGGAACCACGTAATTATTATTTTTTTAAATATAATTAGCATTGAATAGTTTATTTAATGTTCCGTGTGGAGTATGCGAAGTCATTTCGGAGATTATTCCGTTTAAATTTAAATATATCTAATATCTATACATATAAATATTTACCTAATTCGTTTGTTAGATTAAGTCTTGCTTTCGCCAACGGACTGTCTTCGTGGTTACAAAGGTCCTTGAAGCAGCAGAGTAGCAATGAGTGTTCGCGCCGAGGCGGCCCTCCTTGACTGGGTGCATTCTGACAATGAGATAAGGCTTCTTGTTCACTGAAAAAGTAAAAATAATCGATTATAATCATCTATATACTAAACAGTATTGATATAAATATAAATATCTCAAATATGTTAAGACATTACCACACAGCACCATCTAGTTCCATGGTAAGCTACGAGGCTTGTGTTATGGATACCAGATAATTGATACACGACACATATATAACTTTAAATACATACATATTATAAATATAAACACCCATGACTGGAGTACAAACATTCGTGCTCATCACACAAATGAATGCCCCCAGCGGGATTCGAACCCGCGACCGCTGGCACAGCAAGTAGGTTATAAAATTAAAAACTTTAAAAAAATTAAACTTGCTCGTACATTGCAGTTTTTATTAAATAATTAAGTTACATGCAGTTTGAAGGCGTTACATGCAAGTACGTACTACGCACGGACGAGAAAATATAATTTTCATTTCAATACTGAATATGAACTCGATGATATTATTAAAAAGATATATTGAAGTGGTCTATAATAAGGCAAGGCAATTTCTATTAATTTAATACCTTGAATCTAGTATTTTATTAAATTAAAATATACTTTAATGTATAGCTTAGTTGTTATTTTAAGCGCTATTATTAAATAATATGAGGTATAACAAAGTAAAATTTAAATTAATAGCATTATTAAATTACAGGTGGTAAAGAGTACTAAAACGTTATAGGAAAATGGCCAGCTATAAACTTATCAGTTTATGACTTAGTAAACCGTCCTTTTTAAGCATTACATTAAAAATTATCATCCTAATTATAATGAAAACAGGAAATACTTGTTTTATTTAAAAGTTCTAACTAGTTATTTGAACATGAAATTGTATTGTAAGTAAAAATAATTGTGGATATCAGAAATAATATGTAAGTACATAACTTATTATACTTCGGCTCGAATGATACCATAATGAAAAAAATGCTAAGTCAGCCATCAAAAAATATTTCACGGACACTCTGATAGAGCGCAAATACATAAACTAGCGACTCACCCTCGATCGCACGGGTTCGTCCCTAGGTTGTTCCCTATTCAAACTTTCATCCCCATTTTCACCCCCTTAAGGGATGATTTCTGGGATAAAAAGTTTATGTTATTCCCAGGATCTCAAACTATCTTTTTACCAATTTCATCTAAATCGGTTCAGTAGATCTAGAGATTACCCCCTATAACGCCACAAACTCACAATTCACAAACTTCACCTCTTTATAATATTAGTATAGATGAGAGCTGATTATAGGGTAGTTATATTGATGTCATAGACAGACACTTTAATTTTGTTTAGAAGCATAGATAATATTACAGTCAGCCTCATTCAAATTCAACGAAATGAAAGGCTGATTAATTTCAGTACGTAACAGCTTCAATAGTCCATGTCAATCCTGGCTTGTGTAATGGCGCCTCAAATGCCAAGACGGTGATTGCAATGTTTATCTTTCAAATGGCTTTTTATTGGCAATTATGTACTTTATTTACGATAGTATAAACGTAGTTTCGAAACATAACAAACTAGCAAATCACTTGTCACAGATAAACTTAGCATGGGTATTGCAGATTTTTCATTGGTAGTTAGATTGAGTTGCGTAATGGTTTAATTCAGTCTTATTCTGTAATAAATTATGTAACTCGATAACTGAATTCGCGCAGATATTTTTTTTAATATATTCAATTAAATTCTTTGTTATTTGGCTTTAAGGCGAGTTGGGCATAGATTACTTCGTCAATGTCGTGTAGACTGAAGAGACGGTGTAGATAAGTACCGGTTAAAAAAAGAGATATTCTCACTGAGATCTCTTTACATATAAAATACTAGCATTGCCCGCGGCTCCGCCCGCGTCCAGGTGACCAAAAACCAAATTCTTAGGTTTTACATATTAGTATACTCTTACAATGCAACTTTTGTATTTTTTCTCAGAAATGAGATATTTTTCCGCGGTAAAAAGTATCCTATATGTTGACCCGGATTAACAGCTATCATCATACAAAATTTCATCAAAATCTGTCCAGTCGTTTTCTCGTGATGCGGTAACAAACAGACAGACAGACAGACAGACAAAAGTACTAAAAACTATAGAATCGGACTCTTTATCGATAATAATGTCTATTTTTATAGTTACAATTTTATTATATGTATAGATATGTGGGCATTAATTTCGGATCGAATACGCACTGTCAATAAACAAGGAATACACTCTGCACTGCAGCCATATGAAATATATGTATGTAAATAAATAATACGCATAAGTAAAGATGTAAATGGTATGCAAATTAGCTTACAATTAATAGTATTTTCATATGTAATGTATCTTGTCTCGTCGTATAAAGTTGCTAGTTCTGATGGATTTATCAATTTTATAATTTTTAAGAAACTGAAATTTTACAGACTACATCAAAAGCGGATTTTTTTGAAATTCAAGCCCTAAAAATAATGTAGCGAAAGGAGCAAAAATGGTGAACAAACAAAATTTATTTCATTGTGTACTCGACCGAACTCGAAACAGGTCGACATATCATAAGTTATAAATAGATTTAATCTATATAATATAGTACTTTTAATAAGGTAACTATATCTACTTTATTTTTAAAATAAATACATAATAAATTAAATATTATAATAAGTTATATCATATCTATTACATATAAAAGTGTAAATAATCGGTGTCTGTACATGTAAGATATTTGAGAAAAACTATTATTGGGGGTTCCTTATTAACGCAATAAAACCTAAAACAATGACATTTAGAATTGTTATCTGTTTGTCTGTGCGTTTGTGCGCGCTAATCTCAGAAACGGTTTAACCGATTTGGGTGCGGTTTTCACACATGTGTGGTGGTAAGCGTCACTTAATATTTCGTATATTGTTTTATTTCAATCGGTTGATAAGTAAAAAAGTTATATCAATTTAAAGAATCATCTAAAGACGAATCCGAGTAAAGCGTGAGTAGCTAGTTTTAATTATATTTTAAATAATAATATTACATAGCATGAGATTTGATGCCTACAAGCTCCACAGACGTGACGCGCAGTGCGAATATTCACAAACAGACCGACATATAAGTGGAATTGTGATTAGAATATAAATTGTTTTAGAATTTTGAATCATAATTTACTATGTGTTAAAACAATTGTATATCATTTAGTAACGTTAATTTTAGATCGTTTTTTTTTTCAAATCAAATCAAAATATACTTTATTGAAATAGACTTTTACAAGCACTTTCGAATCGTCAGTCCGTGAGGATGTTAGTACCGGCTCGGAAAGCAGTTCTGCTGAGAAGAGCATAAGAAACTCAACAGTTGCTCATTTAAAATACATAATTGTTTATAATATTGTAATACAATAAATACCTTCTTATCCGACGTGTGACCCAACCAGATAGTTCCACACATTGACATCTACGAAGTATTCCGTGAAGGTATAATAAATAAGCTTTATTCACTAATTAATATATTTATAATTTTTTTAGACTTAAATTGTTTAAATGGCAAACTCATATTCGATATTATAGGGTAACCGAGTGACACTTTATAAATTTTTTTTTCGGGATTTTTTAACTCAATGACACAATGTATGTTAACATGTCCCTTTTACGCACCTGCGACTTGTAGGTTATGTGACTAGATTGCTTTTGTATTATAAACCTCTAAATAAACATAATATTCATTTACGTTTGGATAAACAGATTGTAGTGACCCTACATGCTATGTAAGCGGTCGCGGGTTCAATTCCCGCTGCGGGCATTCATTTATGTGATGAGCACGAATGTTTGTACTCCAGTCATGCGTGTTTATATTTATAATATGTATGTATTTAAAGTTATATATGTGTAGTATATAAACTATCTGGTATCCATAATACAAGCCCCGTAGCAACATACATATTAATTTATAAAACTATTGAAATCACCAATTCTCACAATTGTCGAATGAATATAACACTACTATAAATAATATATTATGTAAATTAGATGTATTGGACAGCACGGCGCGAGAGTTTATTGTATTCTTTCCTTACAGTCTATCTATCCACTTCATAAAATGTTCATTAAAACCGATAGTTAACCTTGCAACACTGAGGCAGCTGGCACAATCTAAAATCCAACTAATTTGAATAGTTACGACCTTTCTCGTGGGAACTAAACGGTAAACGGCCATTTCAAAAATTTGATCAAATATTTTTATGCCTCTACGCTATTTGGAAATCGAATTGCCGTCGTTCGGCACTGGAATGCAAATAAAACATAGGTTTTGATGTCAGACTTTTGCGATGTCATATTTTTCTTATTATATTGTTAGCATTAGATACTAATTTTTGTTTTAGTTTTATTCCTGTTCTCGCTATATGTAGTTCGGTTTATAATAACACTAGCGGCTAACCTCGCTAGGTACGTTTTAAATAGATATAAATAGTTATTAGCCAGCGTTAGCCATATAAATTTTATGTTTTTCCGTTAATTTTTCATGTTTTCTCTATATTAAAACCTTCCGTGGACCTTAAGGAACATACGAAAAAAAAATTAGCTGACTTGGTCCAGCCATTCTTGAGTTATGCGCTTACCAGCATTCATTTTTATTTATATAGATATAAGAAAATGTCTGTACATATGTTAGTCATAAAAAAACCTTGTTTAAGACTACTTTTAAGTACATAACTGTTATATTCCATTTATTTTTATCTAATCCCTCCTCAAACGTCACAGTCGAAGCTATTGAAAGCGACGAGACTTTAAGGGATATGTAATTAACCTACATGGGTATTTATACTATATATTAGTCATTATTTATTTATTACATAGGTAATATATAAATTCACACAATACAGTAAATTAAATATAAAACTTTAATTATAACAGTAATCAAGAACGTTAAAAGTATAAAAGCGGAATTAACCTCACTGGTACCTATAATCTTCGCACTAAAAACAAATAAAACTTTTATAGGTCTACGTATATTTCAACTTAATTAAAGACATAAATTATACATCGGCCTGAGCGGCTACAGCAAAGCAAAGTAAAAACAACGATAAGATAATAAAAATACGGAGTTTAATAAGTAAGAACGAAAAATAATTAATCAAACAATGACTTGCTGCGACATGAACTAACAAGTTAGAACTTGATGAGAAAAGAAGTGATAAGGATGATAAAAAAGTTGCAGCTCTACTAAAAAAGATTTAGCTAAAACCAAAGAACCGTAGCGATAAGAAGTTAGTTGAAAACAAAACAATAGATATGTCAAATGGTAGAAATGCATATTATCTATTAGCGAAATGCGAGTGTGACATTATCAGTAAGTGACATTCAAATGCCCTAAGCTCTATGCGATTGTATTAAAAGCTTTATGGCCTCGAGATAGGGAAAAGTATTAAATGTCATTTCAGGTTTATATATGGCGCATTGTTCGGGTCGACGGCTGCAGTCCGCTATCTAGGATCCCGACCTCCGACTCCACCCGGTTCTACCGTCAGTCTTATCTCAACAAATGAGGACAAAGATCCGACATCGCTCTACGCAATTTATTAACAATAAATAATCCATACAATTAATTATCGATAAAAGCGCAGGATTTTAATTTGCGTCGAATAGGAATCTAAACGGAGAAGACGGTGAGATCGTTAACAAAGATAATGAACTACAGGAGATTGCCAAAAACAAGAAAAAGTAATTTAAAGCAAATAAAAGCAGGCATGTGCCCGTAGATGGAACCTGTTTTCTGATCAACGCTCGCGCTGATCTGAATAAGATAATAAACTGAACAGGTACTCTTGAAAATAAACAACGTTCAATCAACGAAAGATAAAATTATACCTTTTTTGAGTGTTTTAAAATATTTTAAAGGTACATTATTTTGTGTATATATTAAGGCGTGATATTTCATCAACTTATGTTAAGTCTAGGATTAGAAGAGCGAGAAAAGTAATGTGGGAATACAGAATTTTAAAGTGCAACATATGTAGTTAGAAAGTGAAAATTGAGCAGTATGATGAAAAATTACCACTATCAACTGTTTTTTTATCGATGTGTCATTGTTCAAGCTGTCAGCCATGATGAAAAAGCTATAAAATAATTTCAAATAGCTGAAGACAAATTGATTGTAGTTGAGTTTGATGATACTTGGAACGCTACATATGAGTTAGTCCGGCAAGCCGCGGGTTTCGAGCATGATAAGCAGAATTGATGGATGACAATGCTTCTCTCCATACCTTACCAACTCGTAACAAAAGAATAGTTAATTAATTTTAAGATGAAAGTTAACATGAAATATAAGAAACCATATTATCTATTTATAAATAATGGCTTTTATGTTATAGTAAATATGTAGGTAATGTTTCATTATATATTATTTAAAATTACGATAGGGATCAAATTAACAAGATGACAAATTTTATTTGATGAAATTTAACGCATATTAAGTTAACATTAGTTAAACGTCAAAGTCCCCTTTTAAAAGTTATTTAATGGTACTAATTTGTGTAAATGTGTAATTAGTTGCGATATAATCTCAAGGAATGCGCAGTCGAATTCCAGTTTTAAAATGAGAAGTTTACTTTTATTCTATAAGGATCGATCTGATTTTAAATTAAAATTGGTGTATATTATATTGGTTTCTGGTACACTTTGCTAATGAAATACAGTTTTTGTAAACATTTTTATTGAGATAAAATGAATTATGGATTAATTGAATGGAAGAAAAATATATAATTCGACGTTTCGTAAGCATTAATGCAATTAATCAAACCTGAATACAAAATTATTTTTTTGTATCAATATGGCCTACATAATATTTATGTTAGTACACATTTATGTGGGACAACAATATTGATCAAGCTGTCTTATTTAATAGGTATGATATAAACGTTTTAGACGACATTTCTAATTTTGTGATTGGTACCTACATTGTCATATCTGTAGCACGAGGACCTCGTAACAGAATTGAGATTCTAAAAATATAAGCACTAGTAACTTATATAAAAATATTTGAGTATGTTCAAATATTTTTATATATGTTACTAGTTTTTATTCCCGCTGTTTAAGAGGTAAGAGGAGCGGGGTAAAAGTTATAAAATTGGCCTACTATGTTCGCCCCATGTTGTAATCTATGGTAAAACAGGCAGTTACTTTTACATATATAATATTAGTACTGATTATGAGATAAGCATAAAGCCTTATTCAGGCATTCCTATATTTAGTAATTATTCATTTTCATTATTTTCCATAGGTACTAGCTACTTACATTTCAGATAAATGATGAAGGCAGCCGTGGCTGGTATGGTGTCTTCTTGGTGGTAGTTCACTATAACAACCACCACCTTTACGCGCTCTGCACATATAACCTGTGCTTATACAATGAGCTGTATTGCAGTAACACCTTACACCTTCTGAATCTCCCTCTGCTGGTTTTGGATCTGGAAAATAAAAAAAAAACTTTAATATTGTGCAAGTATAATATTACAAAAAAGTAATAAAACCTATAATTTTATTTAGTAAATATTTTTAGATATTATAATGTAAATCATATGTACATATATTTGGTAAGTTTGATAAATGTAAAGCCACAATAAAACATGATCAATGAATTTGTAAGAGATAAACAAAGCAACAATTTCAAGTAATAGTATTGGAGCTATACAATTAAATCTAGCCACAAATAAAACTTATTTATAGACCATTGAACAGGAAACTGTTATTACGAATGCAAAGCGAAATGCTGCAAATGCAAGTAGTGAATCTAGTTACCGGCGTCGACCCTGTGGCGCCTTTGACTCGTAAACTTTGATAGTTTTCGTAATACAAGTTTAATTTTTATTTGAAGTAAACGAAAATTCATTGTTATAGGCAAATAAATTTATTAAGTGCAAAGTAATATACATATATACTTTAATGAATTGTAATTCGCAAATCAATATTTATATTAATCATTTTAAATAAAACTACATATTTTTCCGTTTCGCGGATTTATTTTGATTTTTGGTCCCTGACGTTTCGAATGCTTTACAGCAATCATGTTACGGGAGAGGCTGATTCGCGAAAAAATCCGAAAAGATAGTTTTATTTAAAATGTCAAATATTCGCGTAAATCTAAGACAGTTTTAAAACAATTTATTATATTTTTTAGATTAGTAATAAAATAAATAATATATAATTTTTAATGTTAATTTACACAGTGCCCTTCAAGAATTATTCTTGAAATAATATCATATTTGATCCTTAAGTTGTTCCAACCTATCAAAAAGTCGATAAACCGGTAAAAATACACAGATGGTCCGCATCGAGTATTTGTGTATGAATAATGCGCACGTCACGTACTGAGGGCCCTTACATAAATATCCTACAAACGGGCAGCCTCCGACCGCATTCAATGTAAATGCTTCGACTCCAGACGATGAAACAAAACGAAATTAATTTTAGAGGGACGCCGCTTTATTTGCTCTCGGGCCCAACTTAAGAAAACGCAATCAGACCCCCCTTGATGTCTAGCTTCATTGGAATTTCTTTCGTTCACGACATCAGCTTCATCATGTCTAATTTTTGGGTGATTTGTAAGTCAGATCCGATTGGAGATTGATCAAGATTCGGTAATGATCACCAATTTTGTAAGTTGTCTGGAAATTAACCCTTTGATGAGAACATATGTTGTTTATTCTTTAATTATAGAAGAAAGCTACTGAGAAAGCTTGAATAAAAATCAATCCGGCAAACTACTTTAAAATTGTAATCTTGTTTTTATTTTAGGTAAGAAAACACAATCGTATGCTACACAAATATGTAAGCTTTTGATTTATGAATAAATATGTGATTTTTTTGTTCACTATATTCATTTGTATGACTTTTGTTGTAAAATGTGTTTTCGTAGTATCAACTAATAATACATAAAGTTACGTACATTCATGCAGTTAGCAGTAGCAAAAATTCATCCTAAAAAGTTTTAAAATAATATTTACACAAAATTAATTCTAACATTTCCAAAGTTCCCAAAATGTCGCGATAACTTACTAATTAGTGGTAGAATTAGCGTTATCGAAACATCGTACATTAGATGGACGTCATTAGATCGGCTTTACAATCAATTTCGAGTCAAAAAGAAATACAAACGGTGCACCAAAGGATAAGGTAAATAAAAAACAAATAAACAAAAGAGAAAGGATCCCGGCATGTTATTTGGAATTGATAAATGGCCCTCCGGAGGCGAGGCAGGAAAGAGATGAAGCGAGACTAGTGAAGGATAGAGACACTAATGAGTCGAAGACGGGATGTATAAAGGATAAAACAGTATAACATGGTAAAGCGTTATCGTCTTCAAACTTTTGATTTTGTTGTTGAGATTATTCACATAGCTGTTTACGCTGGTTGGTTTATTTTTTCAAGTCGATGCGGCGCCAGCGCAGCTTCACGGGACATTTGCCGGGATGGCCACTTCACGGTCATAAATTTTAGATTTGCACCTTTTCACGGGTTTTATGAAATTAATTGTGCGTGAATATATGAAACTATAGGTTACATATATTTTAATAAAAACAGAAGTTTTCTACCAATTTAACTACTTTCGACTTTGTTTTAGAATATTTTATACTGTAGCTTTATTATTTCATTACTGCTTATTTATATAATTCATGTTTTTGAAATCCATAATGAAAATTCGTATTTTAATACATATAGGTATATATTGTATGGGACGGAAAATTAATACAGTATAACGATTTGTGAATTCAGTCGCGACCACCGAATAAAGCTGGAGATGTGTTTATTATACACTAAAAACTCGCTCTAACCAGAAGCCGGTATTCTTAAATCGCGATTGAAATGTTCGCATGGAAGCACCGCTGCGCGTCGGATGAGATCATAAGATCGAGATAAATACCATCGCTTCGCTTGCAACGTCTCTTCAATTTCATTAAATAAGGCCGCAATGAGTTCAGGATCAAGCTATGTTACCATTTCACATGAGTACCCCGTTCACTTCAGGGATATTCAATTAAGATCTATACAAAGATAGTAGGTACTTGGTTTTGCACAAATAGCTATTTCCGATACAATCGCTAGAGGCATTTAATTTTCCTGCAAGCACCGAAGCAATATTTCATGTTTCACATTTCATGTGTAATCGGATGCAATAAAGCATTCCAATTAAGTGTCATTAGGCTATACGACCAAAATATTTCATTGGATTATATATAATTGTACGGAGCACATTCAACGATTAAACGGTTGAAGACGTCAGAGCTATCGGTTAGTAATAAGGTTACTAATGTTGCGACAACAGCTTTCTCCCGACGTTCACACGCTGTCCGACCACGTTTTATCTAGTACTTTATTACGTTAATAACATTTGTGGCGCGAGCCGAAGCCGGTTTGCTATTCTGATTGGAGTCACCATAACTGGCCATGCTGATTGGATGACGCGGAAAAAGCAAGGCTGTGTGTCGGCCTTGTTGGCATTCCGATATTTGAATAACATAAGAAGTATCATCGTGCCAAATTGTATGTAGGACGTTCACCGACGACCAATTATATTTACGATATACAGAAACCTATCGTATTTATTACCTAATTTATATACGAATTCTGTTTCTATGCAGATTTTATTTAGTAATTTTGAGAATAAAATTCATACTTTGGCTTATTATTTTAAGGATATTAAGGCAGTTGTAGTCCAGTAGTAACGCGGTCGCTTGGAAAACCGAGTGAAACGGGTTCAAATCCGGATCAATCTCGCATCTGTGATATAAAAATATGTGAATATTTCTAACATGATTACCTCTTGTCTTACGGTGAAGGAAAACATCGTGACTCCGTGAGGAAAGACATGTGAAGTCCACCAACCCGCACTCGGCCAGCGTGTTGGACTATGATCCCCCTCGTATTGAAGGGAGGCCCGTGCCCAGCAGTGGGACGTTATAAAGGGCTGAATAGATTAAAACGGTAACTCATAGGCAATATTAATCAAAAGATCGAACAACTATGACAAGATAATCTTATCCTAGGAGAAATTTATAGACTCGAACCAAGATCCAAATCCGTTCCAGTTAGATATGATACCGGACATTTTGTTAGTTGGCTAAATATGTAGTTGCGCTGTTTTACTGCCTGAATTTTCATTGGCCGTCTGTCTGTCGTTTAAATCACGATTCATCTAATTGCACAGTGAATTATCTGCTATAATAGATGTCGTCGCGTAATTATCAACTGCAGCTCAGCCGGCGCCGGCTATTCAGCCTGCTTTAACTCGGGCCATGATGACATTTTACATACCAAGTATCTTTTTAATTTTGCTTATTAATGGTTTGTTTTATGTTTTATAAGTTATAAAAAATAAAATAACCTAAAATTTACAAGTTCGGAAAACCACAACACACACACACTCGTTTATATTATATACATATACTAGCAGAACAAGCGGCTTCACTCGCGCTAAAACTACAGAAAAACTCTAAAAAGTAGGTTTTATATAAACTTTCATTCCCTTGTTTACCCTCTTATGGGATGAATTTCGAAAAAGCTAAAACAAGTATTTATTTAATTGTTTTAAAGAGCATTAATACCAAGTTTCAAGTAATTCTGATCATAAATATTTTTGGGATGCATTATAACGTGCTGTCCCGTAGGAATTAGATAATCTCCCGTACTAAAAAAGTAGCCTATGTCACTCTCCAGCCCTCCAACTATCTGCACACAAAAAATCACGTCAATCCCTCACTCCGTTTCGACGTGAAAGAAAGACAAACAAACAAACAAACATTTTCACATTTATAATATTAGTATGGATATACATACTTTAAATAAAATCTATACCTTAAAATGTCATAATATTTATAAAAAAGATGAGTATCTTCAAATTCCTGGTGTAGATTATAGATTACCACATACGGTGTACACTGTACACTCTGTCGGTAGGTCGAGTAGCGTTTTTGTTATCTAACTATTATATCTTGTATACAACCTGAACGACCACTTACACATTGACCAATCTCACCGAGAGACTATGTATCACAACTCCAAAGCATATACTTATTACATAACATATCACTTTAGTATTAGATTTAAATATACCTACCTAAATCTATTGGCATTCCGAAGCAACATTAACATTTTACAACCAGTAATTACGACTCTCAGTTATTTTCTGTATCACTCGTTACAGTTTATTAGAATTTACAACAGCGGTTAGAAACACACGATGGTATCGATGAACTGCTTGCAATAATGCGAGCATTATTACATATAGCAGGCGTCTGTATCAAAGAACACGATCGACTTCCTAGGAAAATAAGGCCCGACCGTTTATTATAACATTCTGAAACTAGGATGTGGTGATGATGTAATCCTTGCGGTTTGATTAACGTAGCTGAAGCGTCGCTTTCGCATCAATGTAATGGAAATGAGCTGGCCTATCCGTTTGCGCCAACTG